GAGATATATTCTCTAAATAGTCTTCTGTCAAAATTGCTTATTATATGACAATTAAATGGAAAGTATTTTGGTGTTTTACATCATTTAAATTACAAATAAGTCCTCAAAATACTCCTTTCAAAATAAGTGGGTGATTGCTAAAAGAACAGACCCCCGAGTAAGCTCATGGACTCCATTTTGAGAAAACATTTACTTAGAAATTATCAATTTGGAAAAATAGTTGATTATAAAGGAGTATTTCGAGAACATAATTAAAGTCTAGAGGATGAAAAATATCAAAATACTTTCTATTTGATTGGCATTTGATAGACATTTTCTTATAAAGGATCATTTAGGAAATAAATATAAACTATAAAAGATCACATGTAATTATTTTTTATTGAGAATTAATTTGGCAAAATACTTTATTAGAAAGAACCATTTTAGTAAAATTTATACAAATAAGATTTTCAATATTCACGGCGGAGGAAGAGAGGAAGACCTCCAAAAACTGATGGCAAACCAATAACGACGGACAATTTCACGGCGGAGGAACCACCGGAGAAGGAGATCACGGACAATTTCACGGCGGAGGAACCATTGGAGAAGGAGATCCCTTCTGATATCACATCGGGACACAAAGCACAAGACGAGGACTCTAGCTTTACTGGAACCCCAAATCCTGACCCAAATATGATCAATGCGAACAAAACTGTGACGGAGCAACCCAAAAGCTATGCGGAAGTCGTAGGTATACAGAAGGAATTGAATCTGGATTTGAAATATATACCAGCTGAGATTATTGATGGCACCCCAGTTGCTAGATTTTCAACGAATGATATCATTGAACCAGGTGAATACTGGGAATCTGCCCTTATCTGCTGCGTATTGGGAGCAAATCCCCCATTAGAGGTAATCAAAGGATTTCTTACTCGAATTTGGAAACTATATGAAATAGATGATGTATCCTTCCACAAAGAGAGTCAATTCATTGTAAGATTGAAGGAGGACAGGGATGAAATAATAAAGAGGAAATACTACTATATGGATAATAAGCCTGTTTATGTCCAACAATGGTATCCTGGTTGTAAGGTGGATATAATGAATAGGAAGGATATTCCCATATGGATTCAGTTCCCAGACCTAGAGATGAAATATCGGAGCCTAACTTGGTTAAGCAGGCTTGGAAGCACAATTGGTAAGCCAATTAAAAGGGATGGAGCTACTGCCTCAAGGAGGAAATGGGCTTATGCAAGGATAATGATTGAGGTTCAAATAAATCAAAGCTTCCCTGACCAGGTTAACTTTATCAATGAAGAAGGAAGAGTCATCACACAAAATGTCACTTATGAATGGGAACCAACAATATGCTCACATTGTGACAGAATGGGGCACAAACGAGGAAGTCTGCCTTAAAGGTTCCTAATGGTACTAAAAAAATGGCGTGGAGACCCAAAGCAAATCCTAAGAAGAATGATGAGAAGGAAAATGAGGAATACAGCTATGAAGAGGAAAAAGAAGAGCCCCAAACTCCCACCTCCCCTAAACTGGATGGGAACGATATGGAAAACGATGCAGAAGAATTGAAGGATAAAGGCTTTACTGAAGTATCTAAAAAGAAGGCTGCTAGGAGGAGATCTCTGGAAGGAGGGCAATGCGACTTTATTGGACTCATACATAAAGATTTAAGTCTGGCCCCATATGAGGGACACTACCCCTTCTTACTATGATAGGATGCTGGAACATCAGAGGCCTCAATAGCCTAAATAAACAGTATGAAGTGATCAACTTCATAAATAAGAATAATCTATCTATTGTTGGGTTGTTGGAAACTAAGGTGAGAGATAGTAACTACAAAATAATTGAAGACAGACTAGTTAGAGGTTGGAGCTCAGTAATTAACAACAATGTCCACCCTTTGGGTAGAATTTGGGTTATCTGGAACCAAAATAGAATTAATCTAAAGATATTAGACATCTCAGAACAAGCTATACACTGCCAGGGGAAGCTCATCGGGGATGACAGAGTCTTTTTCTTAACATTTTTCTATGCCCACAATGACCCAAGAAAGAGGAAAGAACTGTGGAGGTTTCTGCAGAAACCTATAACTACTACAGCTTGGTGTGTTCTTGGTGATTTTAACACAGTTCTCCATTTAGATGAAAGAATAGGTGGGAATGCTATTAACAGAGAGGAGGTACAAGATTTCCAAGAATGCTTGAATCATTGTGGACTGGATGACCTGCCGTATGAAGGACCCAAATTCACCTGGACCAACAATCAGGGGATTGTGAAAAGAATATACTCGAAGCTAGATAGAGTACTTGGAAATATGGACTGGTTAATTAAATTTGATATGAAGGCGCAGTTCTTGGAGGGGGGGATCTCTGACCACTCCCCAATGGTACTTAAGTTCATCAACCAGAGGAAACTAAACCACAGCTTCAAATTCTATGAAATGTGGACACTAGACCCAGCCTTCCCCAGTATAGTTGCTGAGGTTTGGGATAAGGAACATGAAGGCCATTTTATGTTTCAAATCACTCAGAAACTGAAGCAACTAAAGGAACCTTTGAAGCAACTTAACAGGAGGAAATACAGGTCGTTGGATAATCAAATAGATGAACTCAGATCAAAGTTGCATAATATCCAAGAAAGGCTGAAACAGAACGAAACCAACTTAAGAGACCTGGAGATGGAGAGGGATCTAAAGAAAGAACTACACAATATGTTGAAAGCCAATTTCCTCATGAAAACCCAACAATCCAAGGTAGATTGGATCTCAATGGGAGATCAAAATACTAAACTATTTTATGCTTGGATCAAGAAAAGGAAATTGCAGAACAATATATCCTCTATTGCCAATGCAGAAGGCACTATTAAAGAAGGTAAGGAAGAAGTAGCAAAGGTTCTGGTGGACTACTTTCAGAAACAACTAGGGTAAAAAGAGTACACAGACGACATAAATAAGGACATTATGAAAATGGGAAACTGTCTCTCCATTGAGCAGCAAGTGAAGTTAATAAAACCTGTCACAGCTGAAGAAGTAAAGAATTGTTTATTTGATATCCCAAATCACAAGAGTCCAAGACCAGATGGGTTCACAAGTGATTTCTACAAAAATCAATGGGACAAGATAGGGGGACTTTTCACTAAGGCAATCCTGGAGTTCTTTCAAAACGATGAGACCATCAAACAGATTAATACCACCAATATCACTGTCATTCCGAAGAAGGAGAAGCCTGAAAGTCCAACCGACCTTAGGCCTATTGCATGTTGTAATGTGCTGTATAAGGTCATTGCAAAAGTTATCTGTGGGAGGTTAAAAAAAGTCCTTCCTAGCCTGACCAATCTTAACCAAGGTGCATTTGTGGAAGGTAGAGAATTAGTGCACAATGTTCTGCTATGCCAAGAATTGGCAAGAGGTTACAGCAGAAAGGGCATATCACCCTGGTGTTTGATGAAACTAGATATCCAGAAAGCGTATGACAATGTTAGCTGGCGGAGACCCCATTTCCCCTCTTTTATTTGTCCTCATAATGGAATATCTAACTAGAACCTTCCAATTCTATGCACTCAACAAAGAATTCAGGTTCCATCCTATGTGTAAATCTCTGAAGATTATAAATATTGCCTTTGCTGATGACCTTATCGTTGCATGTAAAGCTGATGAGGGTTCTATTAAGGTCATCATGAATGCTTTAGATCATTTTAAACGCACCACTGGCCTGCAAGTGAATCATGCGAAATCTGAAGTTATTTTTGGGGGAATCTCTTATCATCAAGAAGGGAAACTCATCCAGCTCATTAACATTAAAAAAGGATCATTCCCTTTCAGATACTTGGGTGGCCCCATAACCTCTTCTGGAATAAGAGACAAGGAGTGTGACAAATTGGTGGAAAGCATGACAACAAAAATCACCTCGTGGGCATCCAGGCATCTTTCTTATGCAGGTAGAATCAACCTTATTAACTCTGTTTTGTTTGGGATTGTAAACTTCTGGAGTAGCATCTTCATGATTCCCATGAAGTTTATGAGAAAGATCCAGGCACTGTGTAGAAATTTCTTATGGGGCTCCTCACATGAATACAAAAAACACCCGTTAGTTGCTTGGGATGAAGTCTGTCTGCCCAAAAGGAATGGTGGTCTGGGGATAAAAAATCTGGAACTATGGAACAAGGCAACAATTATGAGACTTATCTGGGACATTGCCCAAATGAAGGAGAGCCTTTGGGTCAAATGGATTCATGGGAAATACCTAAAAACCAATAACATATGGGAGTGTCTGATCAAAAATGATTCATGCTTCTATTGGAAGAAACTGCTTAAGATCAGAAGGTGCTTTGAAGGAATGGAGATGAACAGTTCTTATTCTTCAAAAGATGGCTACAAGTGGCTGATTGGAAAGAGGCAGGAACCTAACTGGTCTAGCATGGTTTGGAATAAGCTATCAGTACCCAAGCACAAAATTATTATATGGCTCCTATGCAGGGATAGACTACAAACCAAGAAACGACTTAGCAAATTTATCCCCATGGATATCACGTGTAGCCTCTGCAATAATGGGGAGGAAGACAGTGAACACCTATTCTGTAGCTGTCAATATGCCACCAACATTTATGCTAAATTACGGGACTGGTGCAACTACAAGTTTGAAGGAGTTTCTATTGGAGCTATGACTGAAAAGATCATGAAGCTTAAACCCAATAAGCACAGGTGGAAGATAAATGCCATCTTTGCAGCTTGTGTATATGCTATTTGGAGAGCCAGGAACTCGAAAATCTACAAACAGATTAACATTCCTGGAGAAGAGTCCACCAACTGGATTATTTTCCATATTAATACTTTTTTCAATGCAAAGGGTGTAATGTGAAGAAGGAAGTCCTGAAAGTTTAGGGGTGGTAGATTAGATGTTTGCCTGATGGCTCAACTGGCTTTTGTTGTATACCTGTTCTGTGGTGATCTAATATATTTTTGCTTTCGATTCAAAAAAAAAAGATTATCAATATTAGTCGTTTACCTGTAAGTGGTCTCTCCTGAATTTGTTGAAAAATTGTGCCATTGTTGCGCGTATAAACTGCAATAGATTAAACATCATTGTTTAAAATTAGTCTACTACTCTAATATATTTTTGCTTTCGGTTCAAAAAAAAAAGATTATCAATATTAGTCTATTTAGATTATTTTCCAACTTACTACGACAAAAACATCATCAGACTACCGTTTTCGAAAAAATAATATTGTAAAAAAATATACCGTTTGTTGTTGACTATATAACACTTGGACTTAGACAACAGTTGTCGACTATTAAGGGGACAACTGTTAGTTTTAAAATTTTTTAGAAAAAATCTATCAATAAGAGTCAATATCATATCAAAATATTGTTTTATTGTCACAATTTTCTATAGCAAGTTAAGAGTATTCTTTTTAAGTAATAGTTTAATATGGTATTTTTAGACTTTTGTTCATGAATAAGAGTTATCTCAGGCTATCATACAAATTACCATTGTTTAGCCACAGTAATGCAAATTAAGTTAAAACAACTATATTAAACAACAGTTTGACAATCTATGTAACACTACTATTTTTGAAAAAACAATTGGCTAAATGCAATCTTACAAACTATATTTTAGCCAAGTCGTCACTACAAGAAAAAAAGGGATACAGGGACACTGAAAAAAAGACATCCATCATGTACAACGAGTCTTTTAAAATGTGTAATTTATTAGGGTGTCATCCTAAGCCAAAAACAAGGACCCGCAAATCTTGTCCTCATTTCTATTCAGAGACACCTTTAAAACCTTTCAAAAAAATGTCCTTAAAAATCCATACTTAAAATGCATCATCCTTGTATATATATACTTAGAACACTCTATATATATATATATATATATATATATATATATATATATATATATATATATATATATATATATATATATATATATTCAATGCAAAGCTCAATTAGAAATAAAGCAAAGCTCACCACTTTAAACACCAAAACTCACCATTTCTAAAAATTTTAAAAATTAAAAGAATAATTTAATATAAAATAGCAACACTGGTCAACCACCGGTCAGTAGCGACATCTGGCGGCAGGCGGTGGTGACCAGCGCAATGCGGCAGCAGAGCAATGGCGGCGGCCTGCAACGGCGACAGGTTGTGGCGGCGCGGAGGCGGAACACTGGCAGCGATAGGTGGTGGCACGGCGGCGGTCGACGGCGACAGGCAGCGGTGAACGGTCAAAATCTAGTTAGCACCCCTTTCATTGATTTTATTTTTTTCAAAAAAATTTCAAAGTGTTGAAAAAATATAGTGAGCTTTGTTTTACAGTTTGGTGAGCTTTGCAATTGTCCTTAGTGAGTTTTGCAATGGGTAGTGATATATATATATATACACACACACACACACAAGGATTGACTCCAGTGAGATGACATGTTACGGTTAGATGACGCAAAGATCACCACTCGCCACTGCAAAGCTCACCAAGGACAACTACACAGCTCACCAAACTGTAAGTTAAAGCTCACGATATTTTTTCAAAACTTTGAATTTTATTTTGAAAAAATTAAAATCAAAGGAAGGGGTGCTGACTAGATTTTGACCTTTGAGCACTGCCTGCCGCCGCTGGCCGCTGCCATGCTGTCTTTGATCCACCACCGTGCCGCCACTGCTCCACCTGGCGCCGGACGCCGCTGCTGATGGATGTGGTATAATCTAGGAGTATCTAGATACAATATATATTTTATTTAATTATGGGTCAAAGGTTGAAAATAAATTACAGAAAAAAGTCAAAACTAGACAAATACTGAGTGACGAATGTAGTATAATCTAGGAGTATCTAGATGCAATAAATGTAGAGCTAACTTAAAGAAAAAACCAAACATATACTTCCTCCGTCCCAAAAATATGTTCTCATATTGATTTTTAAGAAATTTAAAGAAGTTATTTTTGTGTTGAGTTTTCAAAAATACCAATAGGTAAAAATAGAATGTGGTGGGTACATTAATAGTGAAAAGATATGTTATGATATGTAGGTTAAAAATTAATAAGGGTAAAAGTGGTTTTTCAATATAAATGAGAAGAATTTTGGGTAGAAGGGAGTAGAAGTCTAAGCTAAAAAGATGACATCTCTATTACTCCATTTCTTTTCCCATCTTTGTCCCTCACTCTCACTCTTTACTTTTGTAGTGCTTAAAAGTATATTGATGTACCAGTGTTATTGCCAACATGATCGAGAAACAAATCTTTTGGTGGTATGAGGGTCTTGGTGATAAACTTAAAAGACTAAATTAAAGATTGCACTTAAAAACTGGAATGTCAACATCTTTGGTAATATCTTTATTAACAAATTTAAGAAAAGCTGAAGATTTTGCAGCCAAAGCTCAAGAAGCTTATGGCCTCAGAGATATAGCCAGCAAAGCTAATGTCAATCTTTTATTAGCTATTTCAAACGAAACAATTACTAGAAGCAAAAAGCTAATTTGAAATGGACGGGTAAGGGATACCACTTCAGTCTTTTGACAAGAAATGTGGGGTCAACAATGTTTTAATCAAGTTAGATAGGGCTTGAGTATTTGACAAATTGTATTGGAACTATATCAAAGAAGTTTGATGCTTTTGGTATTTCTGATTTGGTCCAAAGGTTATTAATGGTCAATCAAAAGAGTAGTCTTATCTCTATCGATCTTGACAAATGAAAATGACTCACCCTCTAATTTTTTTCAAGATGGTTAGAGCTGTTAAACAAGGTGACCCTCTCGCCCCCTTACTCTTTTTTAAGGGTATGTTGGTTTGAAAAGGTCCGGTCCTGAAAAATGAAAAAATAAAATTGGCTCGATCCAAAATTTACATTTTGGACTCTATTTTTTTTAGAATACTTATGCTATAAAATTAATACCGAATTTAAAAATATGAGCTATGTGGTTGGCCACTTTGCATACCCTTCAGGCCACCAATGTGTTTGAGGTAATAAGTTATATTAGGTAGGTAATGGTAGATAATTAAAGGTAAGTAAAGTAAGATAATGAGTCGAAAATTGTGTGTGTTTATTTATTAGGTAATGTGAGGTAAAATAAACAATAAAATTACTTAAGTATCTGTGTGCTTGTTTTTCTTTATTCGTTTCTTAAAGTGACTTCCGTTGAATCATAATTGACTTTGTATATAAAATTATATAATATTCTAATTACGTAAAATAATATTTTGATAATTATGTATAAGGGAAATGTAATATAAAAATTTGCATCGATTTCAAACATTTAACTTCAACAAACAACAAAAACAATACAGAAAAAAAAAGAAAACAAACATATAAAAAATCACAAAAAACAAACAGAAAAAAACAGCAGAAAAATAAACATATACAAAAACTGAAGAATGAATATTTTCCAATAATCACAAAGGGGAGAATACATGTGTATATATACAAAAGAGTTTCCTAGTTAGGGTAGGAAACATATAAGGTAATCTATACACTTAAGGCAACTATAATAATAACAATATTAAATATAGAAATAATATATTTAACAAAAACACAAAAAAAACAGCAAAAAAAAACGAAAAGAAAGCAAAAAACACCAAAATGAAATAAAAACAAAAGACTGCAAAAAGAAAACTGAAAAAAGGGGGGAAACCGAAAAAAAGAAGAAGTGGGAGGTGCGGTGCAAGTAGGGGTGTGCACCGGTCCAAAACCGGACCGGACCGGACCGGAACCGGTTAGGACCGGAACCGGAATCAGGATTTTGTTAAGACCGGAGACCGGACCTGTTGGTTACCGGTCCAGACCTGTCCAGACCGGTCCAGACCTGAATATTCCGGTCCGGTCCGGATTTACCCTAATATGGACCGGATTTGTTATATTGAAAAATCACATAAACTTAAATTTGTTATGTAAATATACACAAAATTGATAAAACCATGATTTAATATCTCCACAAATTCATACCAATCACAATAGAGAGATAATTGACAAATTCACAAGGTAAATTATGTCTTAAGTTCACAATCCATTAAAAAGAAAGTCTCAAATCAAAGTTTAAACTTCAAAGTACAAAATAGTAGAAAATTAAAAACATAATTCATAAAACTTTTATTTGTTCTTACATTTTTTAGTTCTAAAAACTAAGAGACTAATATATACAAATCTGAAATTAGAACTAAAATTGAAATTTTAAGTATAAATTCATGCTAGGATTGCTAGGAATAACCATTGCTAGGAAATAGTAGTAGAAATTGAATTTATACGGTTATACCTCTTCTCCCTGTTTTTCCATTTCCGTCACAAGTTGGCAGCTCCGGCAAGAAGGCGCTGGCGAGAACGAGATGCAACTGACGAGAAGGAGATGCGGCTGACGAGAAGGCGAGAAGGCTGACGGGAGTGACGGCTATAGTTTTATTGCGAGATGCTGCTCTAGGCTCTGGTCTCCATTGGCGAGAATGCAAGATGCGGCGAAGGAGTCTGGGAGGAGACGAAGTGACGAGATTCGGAGAACAAGATGCTGCGGCTCTGGACTCTGGTCTTAGGTTTGATTAATTGGATTGGATAATGAATGTTGGGCTTGGATAGTTGGATTGGTGGATAGAAATAATAGGATAGGTATAAAAAAATAAAAAAAATAATGTATTTAAAAATTCCGGTCCAAACCGGTTATTTCTGGGTTTTAGACCGGACCGGACCGGAACCCGAAATACCGGACCTGATTACTCCGGACCGGTCCATTCCGGTCCGGTTCAGGTCTAATTTCCGATCCAGACCGGTTTCTGCACACCCCTAGGTGCAAGGTGATGGGAGAAAGAAAAAAATGGAAGAGGAATGAAGGAGAAGGCAAGAGAGGACACTTTACCTAGTTTCCGGGAGAAACGGCGGCGTATTTTCCACTACACTGTTAGGTTACCTTCATTTTACCTATCTCACCCTCTTCCCACTTTAATTCTTATCTTGTTCTACCTCCCCCTCCCTCCATTCAAACACAGCCTAAAGAGGTAAGAAGAGGAGGGTTCGACAGTACGTTGAAAAGAAGAGTGACTTTACTCCCCAAAAAGGGCAAGTTTGTGACAAAAGATGACAATTGAAACCCGACCTGTTTTTTACCTGAAACCCGATCTAAAAATACTGGTTTTGAATAAAGATTTTGATGACTGAATCCAAAGTTTACCGAACCCGAATTGAGCCGTTAAAAAAGGGTCAAACCTGACCGAATCCAAACCTGATCTGACCGACCCGCTAAAGTAAGAGTTTTTAAAATCATACACTTTACTACTCGTTTTTAATGTATAAATTTATATTTTTAGATAAAATTTTAATAATATTGCATAATTATTTTACTTTTTTCTAAAACTTAAGCTTTTTTTAAATTCCTTATATTGATTTATGTATCTAAAAAAATCTTCAAGATTTAAAATAGAATAATCTATTACATTTAATACATATTTTTTGATATTTTACATTTATTTAATAGAAAATGTAAATGTTAATGTGAATTTAAAAATTTAAAAAATCAAAGTCATAACCCATTGGGTCGACCCGATCCCGATGACACTGGTTCATGAACATATAGTTCCCAACCCGAACCCGAATTGACCCAAACCCGAAATAACCCAAATTCGAAGTGACCGAACCCAAACCCGACCTGACCGACCAATTTGCCAGCTCTAATAAACACCTATTTTAAGATTTGAATATTTTAAAAACAATGTTAGAATTTATTGACCTTAGCTTAAAATCACATTTAGCATTTTGGGCATCTATAATGCTCCATTAATGAAATTAATAGTTTCCATCCATCCTCACAAAAATCTAGATGCCCCTAATAACCATCAATTTTACCAATGTTCAAATATAGAGTGCTCCGAGTCATTTGAAGGTCAAATTATCCAAGATCAAAAAATCATTGAGCCAATAATAACGATGATGAAAATAATAATAATAATAATAATAATAATAATAATAATAATAATAATAATAATAATAATAATAATAATAATATAATAACAACAACAATGATAGGGAAAAATAAATGCATGAAAAAGTACTATGTATAATATTATTTACCAATGACTAAGGCAGCATTCGGTTCAACTTATTTTTTCTGCTTATTACTTATTCATATTATAATCAGATCAGATCAAATTAGATTAGAAACAACTTTAGTTATAACTACAATCAGATCAGATTAAATCAGATCAAATCAGACCAGACCAAATCAGATCAGATCTTCAAAAAATCAAATCAAATTAGGTGAACAGAACGCAATCTAAGACGTATTATCTCGGTCTTTAAGTATTTGTCAAGTTTTAGTTAGGGGTGAGCATCGGGTCGGTTCAGTCAGTCCCGGTTGAAAACCAAACGAATCAAACTTTGTTCGGACAATAGAAAACCAACCAAAACCAAACCAAAGTTTGATAAAACCGAAGAAACTAAAAACCGATTTAACCGGCCAATTACGGTCGGTTTATCAAAACCGACAATTACCTCAGAAAAATCAAATTACTCCCAACTAACTTCAGAACATAACATGTAAGTCATATTAAAAATACTCCTAAAAAAATAACAACAAAGCATAACACCATATTCCAAAAAATAAGTATTTTAATAATGAAAAAAAGACTATAAGAGTAAGCAAATTATAAAATGAATCTAAGAATGAGAGTTATCAAAATGCCCTGGCTTCTAATTGAGAATTTAAAATATGGTTAGTGAGTATGTGAGATTTTGGACGGGGCTCAATTAATTAAATACCTCTACTTTTGGGTTCGAGTATTCGGTCCCTTTCAGTCACAACTATCAGGAATCGAAGCTGAAATCGAAATTTTTGAACTTGATAACCGAAACCAAAACCAAAGCCAAAATTTCTGTCGGTTTAGTTTGTAAACTTAGGTTTGATGACGGTCGGTTCGGTTAATTGCTCACCCTTAGCTTTAGCTCCTTTCTTTTGATAACAAATACAAGTAATAATGACATAATATGAAGCATCTCCGATCATAAAATAGAAGGTTCTTTCCTCTAACTCTCTACCAAATTGCCCATGTTCGGCTGTCTCAAATCCACTCCAACTCCAATTTTATCCCCCAAAATTGATGTGACTTTTGGGTCAAAAAAATAGGCTTAAAAGTGAAATAAATTTAGGGGTAAATGGAAGGGGTTGGGGATAGGTTCAGAGCGGACTAGGATGGGAATTTGTATGTGGGTAAGAACCATAAGTTTCACAATCGGAGTACAAGTTGTCAAAGAAGAGACTCAAAAATTATATAGTATTCCCTCCATCCCAATTTATGTTGTCTCTTTCCGTTTACGATGTTTGACTCAAATTATTTTCAAATCATTTTATATGAAAAATGGTGTAGACAAAAATTACATATTAAAATGCTACATTAAAAGATCTACAAAGTTATTTGTAGTGACATGACTATTTTTATCAAATGACTACTGAAAAAAGAGAAAGAAATAGAATAAAGTTTGACCTTATGAATAATAAACATGCAATTTAATTTAGAATTGAGGGAGTATATTAATTAGATAAAACAATATGTTGGAAATATTTTATAAGATAAGTTTAATCATTTTTGTATCAATATCTTACATCAAGTATTAAAAAAAATTTAAATTTGGAGAAATATTAAAGGATGGAGTAAATTTTATTGGTGTCCAAATTGCAGAGTGTCGAACCAGCAATAAAATACCATTATCTAAAAAACCATTATCTATTACGGAGTATTATGAAGGGCCCAACAAAAATCAAAATTTCAGAGAACTTTTTGCAAATTTGGATTGTATTGAAGAAAGAACAAAAGGAAGAATACAAAAGAGAAGAAAAGTTTACCGAATGTATGTAGATCTCGCCAGGCGAGTAGAAAGACTGAAAGAGTACGTAGTAATGAGAAAAATGTTCAAATCTCAGCTTCCAAGAGAAATTTCAAGGTAAAAAACTGAGAGGAGAGTAAAATGAAGGTTTAGAAATGGAGAGGAGAGAACCTCAGAAATTCTGGCAACAAAACATTGCATTGCATCGTGTGTAAAAGAGGTGTGTTTCCATTTCTTGCGTTTCCGCTTTTATTCTTGTTAGAATAATAATAATAAGTAATTCCTATTTATAATAGAAGTAGTATTTTAGTCAATTTCCTTTATTATTGGTTCCTATGTGTGTTAGGAATCATACCTATATATATGGCTTGTATATCTTGATTATCACTTGATCAATACAATTATTCCATTATTTCAATATGGTATCGGAGCGCAAGATCCTTTCTCTATTCTTCTCACTAAAAAAACAAAGAAGAGACAAAACCAAATCTGCAGATCACTTGGCCGAAGAAAAAAAAGGGGCCGCAGATAGTCTTTTGCCAAATCGATCGTCGTCTTCGCCCACATCGTCTCCTTTGCAGATTCCTGCCGCCGGCGTTAACCATCTATCACGCACTGTTCCAGATCGTCCATCTGCTCTTCATCCAGGTTCTGTTCTTCGCCCAAGTTGGATTAAATCCGGTAATCGTGGTTTTTTGTCTCTCGGCGATTATCTCTCCTTTTTTTTCCGGATTAAATCCGTCTGTCTCTCGGCAACTCAATTTGGAATCCTTCTCTCCCATTTAAAAAAAAGAAGGAAACACAGCCGAGCATATTATGTCCGCCGCCAAAGATCCCTTTGATGCACTCCCAGGGGGGCTGCGATTATTCTTATGCAATCTTCATTCCCTGGTTCCGGTAAAATTAGAGGACAATAATTATCCCTCTTGGTCCTCTACAGTTAAGGCTACATTGATTGCACATCGTCTACTCGGTTACATTGACGGGACAGAGCATGTACCACCTCCGACCATTGTTGATGAGAAAGCTTCATCTGCTACCGACAAAGAACCTGTTATTAAGGTCAATCCTGCCTATGATCAATGGACTATTATTGATGCACAATTGCGGGCCTCTCTCCTTGCTCTTCTCTCCCCATCGGTTCAGAATCTGGTCCACCAGTGTCCAACGGCTGCTGATATTTGGGATAAACTTCACCAGAGGTATAATTCCCTATCCCGCACACATATTTTTCAACTCAAGGATCAGCTTCACAATCTGCGAAAAGGACAATCCACAATGCAAACATACTTGGATGATGTTCTTAAAATTGTTACCGCCCTGGCTTTGGCACGAGAAACTATCCCCGAGCAGGATATTATTCTCAATGTTTTACGCGGTCTTCCTCAAGAATATGGCCCTATTAAATAGAATATTCGTTCCAATCTTGTGGCTCTCACTTTCAATGAAGTCTCTGCCTTGTTACTCTCCGAAGAATTGAATCTCCAACTTGAGCAAAAATTGCAGCTTGGTGCATCTTCTACGTCCACCGCTGATATTCACACAGCCCTTTACACCTCGAATGGGCGAGGCGACCGTGGGCGTGGTCGTGGCAGAGGCAGGTTTACCGGGGGACGAGGGGGTGGTCGTTTCGGACAGAGCGGACGGCTACCACAGGACCGCTCCAATGGTCGTGGTCGTGGTCGTGGTCGTGGATCGCAACGTGACTTCTCCCTTGTATGTCAAATTTGTGGAAAAGCAAATCATGGCGCATGGCAATGTTGGAATCGCTTCAATGAGGAGTATTCTGGTCCACCCCGACAGCATCATAACACTCCAGCTTTGTATACTAGTTACTCCACTGATTCTAATCAGAACTGGCACCTTGACTCTGGAGCTAGTACTCATGTGACATCCGATTTATCGAGGCTGAATAATCCAACTCCATATCATGGTCCCAATTTAGTTACTACGGCTGGAGGTCAGTCTTTACCAATCTCTCATGTTGGCTCAGGTCAGGTCTCTACACCTTCAGGTACCTTCACCATATCCAATCTATTACATGTCCCCGACTTAAACACCCATCTATTATCCGTGCACCAGTTTACCACTGATAATAACTGTTCTCTTCTCTTTACTTCTAAGGAATTTATGATCCTGGACAACCACACCAATACAGTGACGTACAGAGGCCCATGTGAGCGTGGACTATACACCCTTCCATCCAAACTTGTCTCGAATATCGCTCCACTAGTGGCTAATACCATAAAGACAACCTCTCATCAGTGGCATTGTCGTCTTGGTCATCCATCTTTTCAAGTCACAAGATTACTTTTTTCTCAACTAACTTTTTTCTCAACTAGGTCTTTCTTTTTCATCAAATGTTGTTCATTGTGATTCTTGTTCTATGTCAAAGTCTTATAAGTTACCTTTTGCTTTATCTAGTACTGTAACCACTGCACCATTTCAATTAATACACTCTGATGTTTGGGGTCCTACCTGCCTCCAGTATTTGACTACTACTCGCCCTGATATCCAGTTTGCTGTTAATTATGTTTGCCAGTGTATGCATGCACCTACGGAGAATGACTTTCAGAGTTTAACAAGAATTCTGCGCTTTATAAAGGGAACCCTTGATCGTGGACTTGTATTCCAGGCAAGTGATCAGAAGTTACGGGCTTACTCTGACTCTGATTGGGCAAATGATATGACTGATGGACGTTCAGTTACTGGCTACTCGATTTATCTTGGACCGAATCTGATTTCATGGAGCACAGAGAAGCAACAACGTGTGTCCAAGTCCTCTACAGAGGCAGAATATCGTGCTCTATCGTCTGCCGCCTCTTAAGTTCTGTGGGTGACATATATTCTCACCGATCTGCGTGTCCCTCTCTTCACACCACAACTCTACTGTGACAACCAGTCTGCCATTTGTCTCACAAAGAACCCTGTATTTCACAAGCGTATGAAACATGTAGGAACCGACTGCCACTTTGTTCGTGAACAGGTTATTGCTGGGAATATGAATGTTTCTCATGTTTTCTCTGAAGATCAGCTTGCAGATTTACTCACAAAAGCTCTACCGGCTCCTCGGTTCCAGTCTCTCACTTCCAAGCTTCCACTCGTACAACGTCGTTCAGCTTGAGGGGGATGTTAGAATAATAATAATAAGTAATTCCTATTTATAATAGAAGTAGTATTTTAGTCAATTTCCTTTATTATTGGTTCCTATATGTGTTAGGAATCATACCTATATATATGGCTTGTATATCTTGATTATCACTTGATCAATACAATTATTTCATTATTTCAATAGTTTTGTTGCATTGGACTCCACTGCCAGGTATATTTTGATATTAGGGTGCGTTTGGTTATTTGGGAATTCCAAAGGAAATGATTTCCCCACTTATTTTCTATTGTTTGAAAATTATTTCTACAAAAAAAATTTATTGTTATAATTTTAAAATTAATACTTTTTGAAAAATTAAAGATAATTTCAAATTATTTTAACATGTGGGTACATGACATAAGGTGTGGGAGGAGGGGGGGTAGATAAGGGGTGGTAGGGTTTAGGAGGGGAGTTAATTAAGGAGGTGATAATTATCAATTAATTTTATTCTCCAATTACTGTAGGTACCCCGAGTCAAAATAGGACCTGAGATTCTAAGGTCAAAAAGAATCATTTTAATTAACAAATTATATACTCCCTCCGTCCCACTGTGTTTGTCCACTTACCTTTTGGCATACCATCCAATGCACTTCTTTAATCCATTTTATCTTGTAATTTGTATGTTAAAAAATTATAAAAATTATATATTAGTAATCTATATGTTAAGACGAATCAAACAAGATCACATATGACTATTTTTAGGCTTACACATTAAGAGAATTTGATGAGTCAAAGTGTTTAGATGAACAGTTTCAAAAGTCAAATGTGGATAAAGACAATGGGACGGAGGTAGTATATATATACACACACACAAACTACTTCACAAGATCTACAAAACAAATAGTGACAATATTATTTTATTTTATCAAATATTCAAAGAAAATAGATAAAAAATGAAAGAACCTAAAAAATGTACAGTGGGGTAAGAAACAATAATTTGGTTTTCTTTTTTCTTTTACATTTTCAACGTGATTTATTTTTCTTCTTGTTTAGAATTTCATATTATTTTCATTTTTTTAATTGTAGATTCTTTTGAAATTATCTCATTTTGTATCGAAATACTCCCTATTTTCTTTCCCTGTCGTTTCTAACTCTCATATTATGACATATTCTATGTTTTATGTTTAAATAATGCATGATCAATTTTTAAGTTGACATTTAGAAATAGTATGAATTTAGAATTGAAAAATGATAATGTCTATAATATACTCTATTCGTCTAAGTGTATTTGTCTAATTTGACTTTTTTGAGTCAAATTGGACAAATTTTGAATTTCAATTAAATAAAAATCACAATGTGTTTTAACATAAAAATGATTTTATTAGATTTATCGTATTGAAAACTTTCAAAATTGTATTTCATTATGCTAATATACAATATAAATTGAGAATAATTGGAATTCAAAGTTTATCCAGTTTGACTAAAAAAAATCAAACTGGACAAATAAATTGGAATGAAAGTTGTATATATTGTTTGGAGCGAGTATTAATTAGGGGTTTAAACGAATATTAATCAGATCGGATGTCTCATTACCAAATCCCTATCCATTTATTTTTGTCAGATATCGAATTCGGATACGGATCTTGGCGGATATTAAAAATCAAAATCGTATCTACATCCGTCGGATATCGATTGGATATCGAATATATCCGTATCCGTTTTCAATTTTTAAAATCAAATTGAAAAATACCTTAATTAAATTAGAGTAAAGTCAAACTATTATTAAATAAACAATAATTTGTTTTGGGATAAATATTTCCTTTGTTTTTCATAATTTATGATATTCTACGATAACTTCATATGATAAAAAGATACACACAACACACATATACACATATTTTTATACTTATGCACATATTTTTATGTGTCTACACATTTATTTTGTATATAAAAATGTTTTATACTTTGAAATATCAATAGAAAAACAAAATATAAATATAAAAAATTAGAAAAAACTATATATAACAGATCAGATATTCGAATAAATGGTTATTTAAACGGATGCATATTCAGATTGGATTTTAAACATATCGGATATACAATTACCAAATCTATATCCGTTTAGTAATCAGATATCTTTAATCGGATACGGATAATATCCGTTTAAACTATATGTGGATATGTCCTCTTTAAATTGATACGGATTCAGAAGATAATCAGATTTTCAGTTATTTGTTGACAACCCTAGTATTAATAATATGAGTTATTTTGAAGTATACATTTTTTTATTTTTAATTAGAATAAATTCCCAAAATAGTCCTTTGTAATAAGGGATTTTCCCAAATTAGTCCTCAATAAGTTTTAATTACCTTTGTGGTCCTCTATATTTGAGGTTTATTCCCAAAATAGTCATTTATAATAAGGTATTTTCCCAAATCAGTATTCAATAAGTTTTAATTACCCACGTGGTACTCTATAATTGAGATTTATTCCCAAGATGTTCCTTCGTAAATAATGTTACTCAAATCAGGATTAATTGAGGGTATTTTTTATTCTCTAAATTTAGAATTAATTCTTAAAATAATCATTTATAATGAAGTACTTTCCCAAAATGATTTTTCTAATTAGAGATGTGTATTTTATTTGAAATTTAAAAGATTTTTTTAAGTTTTAAATAATTCATAAATTATTTATAGTCAATGTATTTTTTAAACTTTACATTTAGTTGTAAAAAAATGATTGTTTCAAGAATATACTTTAAATTTGGATGATCAAAATACTAAAATATCTCCCAATAAATCATCATTTGAGTAACATTATTTACAAAGGACCATATTGAGAATAAATATCAAATATATAGAACCACATAAATAATTAAAACTTATTGTGAACTGATTTGGGCAAAATACATTACTTATTACAAAAGACCATTTTGAGAATTTACTCATTAATAATTTATGATTATTTAAAACTTTAAAAAAATCTTTTAAATTTCAAATCAAATACACATTTTTAATTATAAAAACCATTTTGGGAAAGTATTTCATTATAAATGATTATTTTAATAATTAATTCTAAACTTAGCGAATAAAAAAATACCTCAATTAATTCTCATTTGAGAACACCTTATTACAAAAGACTACTTTAGGAATAAATCTTAATTATAGAAAATCATGTAAATAATTAAAACTTATTGAGAACTAATTTAGAAAAATCACATTTTACAAAGGACTATTTTAATAATTTATTCTTTTAATTACTCGTAACATTTAAAGGCGCACCTACATAGCAATGGTACGGAATGTTACTCCCTATGTGGTTAAATAATTGTTTATTCGGTGTACATACCAAGAAAAAACTTTCTATTCTGATTTCTGTTTCACAATGTTCCATGGGCCATGTCTGTTTTTAATTCATTCATATCTCCACGTGTCCCATGATGTATACGGAGACAATTACTCCCTCCCCCCCCCATTAAATTTTTGTAAGCAATGCGGTACACCAAAAGTATACCCAAATATACAACACATCCTTTTTCACCATATATTTTTATTTGATTTTTTATTTACGTATTCTTTTTTTAATTTTTTTGTCTTTTTAAGTAGACAAGGGGGGGTGGGGGACATATGGGGTATACCGTATACTTTTGGTGTACCCCTAGCATTTTTCTAAAATTAGTGTCACTTTAATTTTAGTTTAGTAGGTTTCGATACTCCCTCTATCCGAAAATGTTCTTCTCATTTGACTTTTACGGTCTCTAAGATTGCACTTTAACCACTAATATCTTTATTTATGCATAGAAATATTTTATAAAAATTTGATATTTGAAAACTATGTTTCAAAATGAATATATTCATATTAAAGTTATATCGCAATACAATGTATTTTTTCCACATATCATAGTCAAAGTTTACAAACTTTGACCAAGAAAAAGTCAAATGGAAAAAATATTTTCAGACAGAGAGAGTATCTTAATATACGAGTTTTGAAATTTGAAATAATTCATGTAAGTGTCTTTTGATATCAAAACACATACTCCCTTCACGTGAATTTTGATTATAATCTTTTCTCTCTCATGTCGATAACTTTTGTGTATTTGTCTGTTTTCATTAAGTATTTGATAAAATAAAATATTATTGTCACTTCTTGTTGTGTAGAGTTTTTGACATAATTTTTTAATATATAATTTTATTTCTTATCAATGTGCCAATTTGTAAATAAAATGATTTCAAAAGGCGAAAGATTTTACCTGATAGCCTTGGTTTGCTAAGACTCGTGTTTTAATGTTAACAAATAATATAAGAGTTTAACGTTTGTTTAAGTGTTTCAGGTACAACAAGAATCCATTAAGATTCGATTCTCAAAAATTAAGTTGAAACACTAAGCTAGCGTAGACTATAAATAGAACCAATGTAAAGATATGATTTTATATACATATATTCACAAGCTCAAAAATACTCAAAAAATATGTTTAAAACCCTTTTATAATCATTTTCAAACATTCAAAAGGTTTTAAACAAAATTGGAAACGATTTAGACAAAAATGAAAAAATGATCAAAATGGTCACTAGGTACCTAGGTACCGTGAGTAGATACGTGAGGGGTACCGTAAGGGGTACCATGAGTCAATCTGAGAAGGTACCCCCTACCATCAACCCGGGGTCCCCTACCGTTAAAACTGGCCCTCCTACCAAAAGGGGTATCGTAAGAAGACATGTACCGCCAGAGAGTTTTGGCATGAGAAGATACCTAGCTACCGTACGGTACCTAGCTACCGTGACAGGGTACCGTTACCGTTGGAACACTATTCCTCATTGCTGATTTTTGAATTAAATCAACCCTAATCACCTCCCAACGGCTAATTAACATCTTCCACTATAAATATAGGCATAATACTTCATATTTCAACAAGAAACAAAGCTCCAAACATCCTCTCTTTGGGATACCACACTCCAAGACTTCTCACGAAGGAACAAAAGACTTCCTTCAAGTTTACAACAAGGGAACAATCTCCCTTAAAGTCTATAGAAACACTTAAACACTCAGGAATAAAACTCTCACAGAGAGTAGATATGAGTGAACTAGTAAACACTCAAGAACACGACAATTTTTTCAAGAATTGGCTCTCAAATAGCTAAGAAAAAAAAGAATGCTTATGCAATGAAAGAGTATTGAAAAGTTGAAGAATTGTGTAAGGGGTACCGTAAGGATTTGGGTGCCATTTTAATGCCTAAAATATGATAAAGATTGGAGTTGGGATTCAAACACTGGACTTTGGAGTGTGGGTGAGCAGCTTGGACCATCGTGCCACAGCTGATTATTGGTCATGTCACTGGCGAACATAGAATATGTTCTTAATTTAAATTCGGCCATGAATTGAGAGAAAAATGACAAAACACTGACACTTGGTGGGAATCAAACACGAGATCAAGTGACGAGACAAACAGCCTCAATTCCATGTGGGCTACTGTAGCTTTGTTGACATTTTTTGGAACTGTTCGTATATACTCCGTAGATATGAATTTATCTATAAAAAACCCCTTCTCTTCTTCTAAAGAGGTTGGAACCCCCATTTTTTTCCCTCTCTCTATTTCGAAATTCTCTTCCTCCCTCACTAATATCTCACCACTTTCCTCCTCCAAACACATAAAAATCACTACATCTTCATCATCATCAACATCATTTATTACATTTGGAGCTCAAGAACACATGTTCCATTTTTGTAAGATTTTTATTATTGTAATAAATATTTATTTGTTTAAGCTTCAAACTATAAACTTCTAAATCCCATTGGGGTTAGAAGTTGGTGTAATTAATTGTCCATCTTAATGTGTTAAATATTTTTAAAATGGATTGTTGATTTTATTTTTACTTAGATGTTGTATTTAAAAATAAATAAACTTGAAATGTTTGTGATTTTTAATTAAGGACCCAATCATAAACATAATTGTTAAAAAGAATTTGAGCTAAAATTGAAATAATCATAAAATAGAACACTTTTTAATTACACCGTAAGCCTTCTCTACCTTTAACCGAGATTGAAGACTTTTAGGTGGATATCATTATTGAGTTGTATTTTTACACCATTAAATTGGGTAAACATAAAATAAAATAATTATGGTTGCCGTTGTTACTAAATAATTACTCCGGATTTATCATTAGCGTGTTAAAGTCGGAGTGGTTATTATTTAGGTGAACTGCGAGAGCGTCCCTATATACTTTTCTGCAACCTCACACATTCTATATAAAAATAAATCAACAATCCAACTTTTATAAAAACATTGGACAATTAATTTACCAATTTCTACCCCTAACTTTTCATCATTAAAACCTTTGTGTTGTTTGGAACTCTCTCCTTTTTCTCTTTTTATTTTATCTCTAAAATCAAAAAGACCAAAAATATTTTACAACTTATTTTGTAAACGTTTGTTTAAATTAAATTAACTCACGTCTCCCTGAGGTTTGACACCCTACTTACAAGGGTTCTTTTTAGTTATTTTTGCCCGTTCTATACTGTCAGTGGCGGTCAAGGCCATTTGCTCGGCTATAGAAGAGTTGTTTGAAGCAGTTGCCCTTGGTTGGTGGCGTGGACGAGGTTGCGGGAACGGAGATTCATCGGTTCGTGGGTGAAAAGAGAACTCATCAATCTCCTAATGCTTCGTCCCTTTGCACTTTGGCCCTGCGTCGGTCTTGATGTGGCACTCATCATGAATTGCCATGGCGAAACGGGCATAGGGAAGCGGCTGGTTATCGGAGGTGGCGCTAAACATGTGAGTCATCCTGTAGAAATTGTGTGTGGTAAGTGAAAGCCTAGTTACCATGTACGTACACAAGCCTTTCAGATGAAACCCGTTGGATCCCGAAGGCTCTTGGATGGGCCCACGGAAGAGGCGCATTAGGTCTGACCTCTTGACGCGGTTATGCAATGATATGCCATGATCCTACAACATGCATCTAAGATATTGAGAGAAGTCTAAGTTTCAATCCATATGAGTATGTTTGATTCCGTATTAGTTTTCTTCCGAAAATTCTATGTTCCTTGGCATAGTGGTCCTGGGGTTCAAGACTGTTGGATAATCGATTATTCAATGTTGATAATCGATTATCAGGCCAGGCAGTTCCTGAGCCAAGGTTCTGCAACCCCTGATAGTCAATTATCACATTTGGATAATCTATTGTTAGGTTGGCTTGTTTCATAACTTAGAGTTTAGAAGGTGACTCCCTTGTCGCGTAGCATGTTGGACGCATTGCTTGAATATCTCCCGTGATCCTTCATTGAATTTGGCCGGTACAGTCCAACCTCCTTTGGATTTTTTCATGTCGACACTTCCCAACTGTAGAAATCATAACGATTATATTTACACGAGAAGGACTTCTGGAGATTGAGAGTAGAACGAGGGAAGTTCTTGACCGGTAGACTATTGGGAATGTACTGGTGAAGTTTATATCATCAACCGATACATCCCTACTGTCGTTTAGGCTTCCCATCCCAGCAAGTAAATCTTGACCGGTCAAATATTTGAAGGCCTCCCTCGGACCGGTACTGGGTGGAATACACCCTTCACTCATGTTGGTCTATTCAGTAACATATCTCAGTTATGTATCTATGCATTGATTAAGATGTTATAATATCCATATATATAGCATATGAGGCGCAACTATCTTGTCTCATACATAGTAGATACAATTATGATTGTAATAATACAGACGTCATAGGTTATAGAGAGGTTAGTGAGACATGTGGCGGGCGTAAAAAATATTGAAGCCGCCATAAAAGGGGTGTCGTCGATCTCAAGGTTCTCGGCATCACTCACGGTGGATTTTAGGTTGACTGTGCTCGAGATTAGGAAGAAGTGAATGTTCAGGTGGCCGCCAGCCAGCGACCATGTTTGCCAGAACTTGGTCGCAACGTAGAGGGTGTGTGTTCTCCTTTTTCGCCCCTAGATGGGGCATTTAAAAATAATCTTAGTGGAATAATCGGAGATAATCCATTTTTATACAAAGGATTGAATTTGCAAATGACAAGTGGATACAATTGATTTGTGAGAGCACCTCCAAAGGAGAGTGTATATTCTTAAATATACACTTTATGCCATTATTTTGACTTTCTAAGAGATGGTGTAAAAGCAAGCTAAATAGTGTAAAAAGAAGTACTACTCCCTCCGTCCCAATTTAGATCGTCTGTTTTGACTTTTGGGCATATTTAAGAAAAATAAAAAATAGAGTTTATTTTTTGAAATTGACAATACTTTTTAGGAGGGTGATGGTGAATAAGAAGATAAGATGAAGAAGTATGACTTATTTTAGGGGTAATTTAGGTATTTTATTTTTAAAAGTTTACGAAATCAACTAACAGACAACTTATTTTGGGACGGAGAAAAAATGCAAACATGCAATTTAAAATGGGACGGAAGGAGTACTATATTGCAAAATCTAATTGACATCTTCTATTTATGGAAGATAGTGTAGAAAAGATACCCAAGTTGAATATAAAAGGTATGGTTGGGGTTAGTATAAGAAAATAAATGTATAAAACAATATTGATAGTATAAAGTTGAATATAGATTATTACATTTTTTAAAGATGTTCTTAGAATGAAATTGAGTACGATACTCTAATATGAATGAATGAAATTTAGGTCAAATATTTAATTATCCAAATTCCATGAATTTTCAATCATAAAATCTATAATTTGGATCAATTTTAGAATTGAAATCTAAATTCATGTTAGAAAAAAATATACTCCGTAGAAGAATTTGTTTCAAATTTGAATTCAAACTTTGTAGATGGTCACAAATTTGAACTATCCAAATTTAAATTTTCAAAGTATTACTCTATTACGGATTAGGGAGAAGTTCAAATTGAGCCAACCGTACGATAGCAGCGTCTGAAGGTTCTATGAATTTGGGCCGTCGATTAACCATCCAAATATAGTCCATAGGATGAGATTGTGGCGCAATCTGACCGTCAAAAAAGAAATTGAAATTCAAAAGCTAGAGAGGGAGGAAGAGCGAGACAAGGCTCTACTCGCTCCTCTTCTCCTCCCTTCTTCCCTGAGAATTCCTGCGTTTTCCGCCCACGCGCTCCGCATATCGACACAAACGCATATTCAGGGGCGTATATCTGCGCTGCAGCGGATCGATTTCCAGTTGATTGAGCTCGATCCTTTGAGATTTTGGAGACGGCATTCGGAGGATTTTCTCCGTTGAATCTGAGCTGCGTGATCGCAGTGTTTCGTTATCGATTTTGAATTCCTGCAATTTGTCCAACACTGCTTCGGAATTGTAAATTTTGTGAAGTTCTGTGGAGTTTGGTGCTCTTTTGGAGGGGGGGGGGGGNGAATCGATCTCGGTTTGTAAATCGTTCTTGGTTTGAATGGAGAAAAGTGATGGAGGGGATTTCCCTCCAAAAAGGTCACAACCGGAGGTGGTTTCTATAGTCACCACTGCGCCCCCGCAACCAGCATCCGTGGAGCTTCCGACAAAGAAGCTGGCAAGGCAGCTGGATTTCACGAGTCCCAGCCATGGGGGAGGCGATGGCAGTTCTGCTGTGGGGATAATTCAGGAGCATCATGGGCGTAATCAACAGCCTGTGGCGAAGCTTAGCCACTCCCCACGGCCACACTTGCAGCCACAGCTCATTGTGAAGCCAAGCCACCCATCCCGACCGCAATTACAGATACAACAACATATACTGTTGATGTCTATGCAGCAACCCCCTGTGCCGCCCCATATTCCTTCAATGCGACCTATGTAAGCTGTTGTAAATTTATCTATGGTAGAATTTGATTTTTTTTAAATGAAAGATTTTGGTGGCCAGTTGATGTGGTTCTTTTCAAAACTTTAATGTCTTTTATAAGCATTTGCTTTACCAGTTTGTCTCAAAGTTTTGTAATTTATTTGATTGCCATTGTCAAATTAACTTTTTAAATGTTCTTTTAGCTATTGATTATAATTTTTTTTAATAATGAAAACTTTCACTGAGATGTCATGAAAGCTTAATTGGCATTGTCTCTGAGGATTTCATCTAAAAGACTGTTATACCTGTATTACATGCTGTTAGGATATGCTTGAAGCTTATCAAGGGAATTGGCCCTTAAATGTTTTTAATGAGACTCCTACTTCTTGCATGCTTGACCTCTATTAATTAGTTGGCTAGTTCATTAGAAATTATCAATGTCATTAAGTTCCGACTTTTCTGATTCCATAAGGCTTCATCACTATTGGTAGATGAAGGTCCTTTGACTTATTCTTCGTGCATCATCTTGCAAATATGATGATTGCTTGAACATTGTTGAATTTCCCACTAAAATATTACCTTTATTGTATCCTTATGAGCAAACTCCAACTAGGACCAGGTTTTGACAAGCCAACTAAATTATACCCTTGATTTCACTACTATATAATCCCGTAAATAGAGCCATTAATGTGTAGAATATAAGTACATACTCCGTAACTTATTGGGAGTACAGGTTTTATAATATTTACTTTTTTAAAACATCCATTAGATGATACTGTTTGCTTTTATTTTGCAGGAAACCAGAATCTCCAAGGGCACGTCCAAGGCAAATCTCTGCTGAAGTGAAAGAAGGTACACCAAAGAAGCAAAAGCAATGTAATTGCAAACACTCTAGATGCTTGAAATTGTAAGATTCTTTTAGTCTTTCTATATTAATGTTTTTCATTTAGTAAAAATAGCAAGCCTAGAAACAATCACCACATTTCCTTGCATGAATTGAGAATGCACCGTACTGGCTTGATTTTCAAGAAAATCACCACATATTCATGTATGAGTTGGGAATACACATGTCCATATTGGTTTGAGTTTCAAGTATGATTAATATGCATTGCTAATACTTTATTTACGAATGTAGGCCAGAGATCACTTGATTGGAGTTCTGTGTATCAGCTATGAATTACATTAAAAGGCTTATAGTCTAAATCTCCTTGTTTTGATTACGTTTTTACACTTAACTTTCAATAATCAACAATATGAAAAATACCAGAAATAAAAGTTGGCTTTGTTCTCTTGTCCTCTGCTTAACGTGTAGGGTTCATAATAAGCAAATTGTGTCATGTATGGATAAATAAGCAAATTGTGTCATGTATGGATACTTTCTCTCTCTCATACAACAAAGTTTATTAACATGTACAACATATATAGGCTAATCTCCACCCGATTTCATGGATCAGGTACTGTGAATGCTTTGCATCAGGCATATATTGTGATGGGTGCAACTGTGTAAACTGTTTCAATAATGTGGAAAATGAAGCTGCTAGACGAGAAGCTGTTGAATCTACTTTGGAACGCAATCCACATGCATTTAGGCCTAAAATTGGTAGCAGTCCCCATGGAATCCGGGAAAATAGGGTATTTTCACATCTGAAGACCAAGGCAAATTTTGTATTTGACTTGCAACCGATTCATTTGTTATTACAAAGATTATCTTATTTAATCATGTTTTACTCTTTATGATTTAGGAGGAGGCTGGGGATGGTTTGATCTTGGGGAAGCATAACAAGGGATGCCACTGCAAAAAATCAGGGTGCCTTAAAAAGTATTGTGAATGTTTCCAAGCTAACATTCTATGCTCAGAAAATTGCAAATGCATGGACTGCAAAAATTTTGAAGGAAGTGAAGAGAGGCAAGCTCTATTCCATGGAGATCATTCAAATAACATGTCATATCTGCAGCAGGCAGCAAATGCTGCAATAACTGGTGCTGTTGGGGCATCTGGCTACGGATCTCCTCCTGTTAGCAAGAGGAGGAAGGGGCAGGAGCACCCTTTTGCAACAACGATGAAAAACCCAGTTCACACGTTTGGGCAGTTTCCGCAGGTATAGATGCCTTGTCTCCTATGTTTGAAATATTACTGACTAGTTAATTGGTTGAATGCTTGCTGTATTTGACAGCAAAGTCATAATGCTTTTTTGCTACATTTGGTAGATGTATTTTTTCATTTATTGAACTTATAAAAATCTGTTAGCTGAGTCTCACAAGTCTTTGCTCAATTAGCAGCTGATAATTGTTTAACACTCTCTTGGCATTTGCAGACCAACCATATTAAACCTTGTATACCAACCTCTTCAATGCCTTCAATTTCCAATGCTCGTATTGGCAGTTCAACCACAATGGGACCTTCAAAATTTACTTATAGGTAAAAGTAACTGCCTTAATGTATCTATTAATGTGTTCCAAGTAAACTAACTGTATCCTCTACTGCTTGAAGATCTTTATTAGCAGACATGATCCAACCAGTGGACGTGAAAGAGCTTTGCTCGGTTTTGGTTTATTCTTCAAGGCAAGCTGCCAAACTGCTTGCAGGTAATTGCACATGCCAACTATAAATGATAGAGTGATAGACATCTTTTGTTATACAAGGCATTTACGTATCATAAACATTCCAAGAGTGTAATTCAAGTGTGTGATGGGTACATAAAATTACACATATCATAATGAGTTCCTTAGTTACTCCGTATTTCTTACATTGTGTTTGGTTCAAGGAATTTGGAACTTGGAAGAAAAGAAAATAGTTTTCCCGCATTTTTCTCATCAAAGTGGGAGGAATTTAGTTTTTTTTCTTCTTAGTACATTTTGCCTTATCATTTTCTTTTCCTTCCACTTTTCATTTCTTTTCCCCTCTAACCAAGCAAGAAAAATGTTTTCATTCTCTTTTTCTTTTCCTTTCCCTCTCAAATTTCTTGAACCAAACATAATGTTAGAAGAATAGTTGCACTTGATCACTCTGAGGCTTCTGGCAGTAATACTAGGACTGCTTTGTGTTTCAAAATGTTTGTTGAATCATTGATTAATTTGCATTAAACATTAACATTTTTTGTTGGCAATAGCAATTTTTATTTCTAATTTATTTGTTTTTAGTTTAGTTCATCAATTATGGAGCATTTACTAATTTTAAAAATGTTTTTAGTTTAATTCTTTTCCAAATTTAGTGTTTTAAAATTTATTCTATTGTTTGCCTTAGTGTAAAAAGTATGACCTATAATTGTTACCAACGTTATACGTGGGAATCAGGAACGTTTGAATGGCTAAGGGGTCTTACTGCAATTTGTGAAACAATAGTGAATCCAAGTTTTACTGTTAAGAACCTTTTTTTTGGGAGGGAGGGGTGGTGGTTAAATGGATATTTGAAACCATTATTCACTTAACCTTTATTTTTTTTCTTCCTCTTCCAACTCTTTCCTTTAAAGCACTTCACTCATTCCAGTTCTTGGTCCAATCAACTCAGCTCCGCTAGACTCATATATTTGTGCTTAGTCTGAATATTGAAACACTCATTTTGGAAGTAGTTCTATGGCTTAATTGAAGAACAACCTTTTATGACCTTTTTAGGACTCAGTACACAGCACAATGCACATAATTATGTGACATATTCCTTTGCAAGTACCCGATATCGCCAAATATAGCGCATCCATGCTAATGGGAATAAAAAGTCGTTTTGAATAATTATTTTGATTTGGTTGCTTATTATTATTATCATTATTATTGTTATTGTTGTTGTTGTTGTTATTATTATTATTATCATCATCATTCTTATTGCCTTTTTCCTAATTTTTTATAGTTTTTTGTTAGACTACAAAAACTTTTGCGGGCCTACAACCTCAAGCTTGAGCTTTTAGTTTAGTACTCCCTCCGTCCAAAAATAATTTTCCCATTGTGTGTTACGATGGTTGATTGAAGTTATTTTCAAATCATTTTATATGAAAAATGGTGTGGAATGAAAAACTAAATATTACATATTTAAAAACTACATCAAAAGATTTATAAAATTAGAGGTGACAAGATTATATTATTATATCAAATGGACAACGAAAATAGACCAACAAAGTGAATAAAGTTTGACTTTATGAATAGTGAATGGGAATATAATTTTTGGACGGAGGGAGTAGGTTCCTTGACATGAGATCAAAGCCTTGTTGACCAAGAGGTCACAAGTTTGAATCTCACTATCACCTGGTCACAAGTTTGAATCTCACTATCACCTAGTTTTAAAAAATTAGTTTCTACGTGTAAGGTTCGAGTAAAAAACAAAGCTCGCGTCCACTTGAGGGAGATAGTGTATAAAACCTTTTCTGGGCCTACAACTACAAGCTTGAGCTTTTGGTTGTGGTCAACACCGCTTTGTCTGCAACAAAGGAAGCAAAGTATTAGAAATAACTTGAATTTTTAGTCTCATGGATTGCTTAAAGACCTGGCAGTTATTTAGAAATAACTTGAATTTTTTTTAGAGTGCTTTTCATTTAGTAATGAATCAAGTCTTTCATGCACTACAAAGCATTTTGATGGTCACTATAATTTTGTGCAAGAAGTTCTTGAAAAAGAAGAGATAGTTCATAGTTCTCTAGAATATGCATACTAGAGAGAACACTTAAAATATGCTCACCTTGGTAGCTACAACGGTCAAGTTTGAGCACTGTCTAGACTTGCGCATTTGAGTTGACATCTCATGGTGCAAATTTGAAGCACCGCCTAGACTGTATTTATTTTGTTTGATTGAAAAGATTTGTATTTGGTGGGATGATAAATTATGCCAAGGTGGAGATTTGTCGTCTTTTTGGCTTAAGTTTACATCCCACACCAGTGGGAATTTTGCCTTATGCTTTTTTTGTTGTCCCACACTGTGCATTGCTGTTTTGGGGAGGGGTTCAGGAGTTATAAACTAACATCTCTTCATTGTTTTTTATCCCAAAACATGTACTATTTTTCTCCCACATTAATAAGAGCAGGCTGCATGAGCGGTGCTTAGAAATTAAACTTTCTTGCTCAACTTTGTAGATATTGTGCGTTTTTGGGTGTAGATATTTTAAAAGCACTCTAGATGGCTCAGACCTTTGGGGTGTGTTTCTATTTTATCTCTTATATTATTCCATTTTATTTATTGGTATGCTCTTTTCTTTTCAATTGTAGTATAAAATTCAATATTATTTGGTGGGTTACTTGGATATATTTGTTAGTGTTGTGTCTAGTTCATTTGTTATGAACTTGTTCATTTCACCGTGTATTTTGTCTTAGTGGGGAAATTGCCTGATTTTCCAAAAGATCATGATTATGTGGTCACCATCTAGAATACTTTTCAAATACCTGCTGCATAGCATTTTTGTTATGCTCATGCAAATCTACATTGAATAATGTTTCTTCCACTCTTTAGTTAAATGGTGTTGCCTTGATGCATTCAGTTACAAACTATTCTACTGCTTGCAGAGGATAAAAATGCAAATCAAAACCAAAGAGAAAGATCTGTTGATTCACTGTGTCAAGAAAAAATAGAGAATCATACAAGTGTGGTGGGGTTGCCTAGCAATTGTTCCAGTGGGAGTCTGGATGGCAAAAGAGGTACAGACAAGCCCTGTTTGGATACTGTTGATGAGTCAACAGAAAGGCCAATGTCTCCAGGAACTTTAGCATTAATGTGTGACGAGCAGAATACTCTATTTTCTGCAAGTTCTCCTAACGAATCAACAAGCCTTTGCTGCAAAACATCTTCCCAATTGTCTCATGGTAAAGCCATGCCAGAAGCCTATGCAGAGCAGGAGAAAATCGTTTTGACAAAGTTCCGTGATTGTCTCAAGAGACTGATTACGCTGGGAGATATAAAAGGCAAGCTTCTATTTCCTAAAGTCCTAATCATGTTTCTTGTAAAAACCTGTTTTTTCTTCACCTAAAAATGTGTTATCCAGGGTTGAATATCTGGCCTCCTCATTTTGCTCTTTCATGGTTTGATCTGGTCCGAATCTGTCTGGTCACTATACTTCATGCTTACATTTTCAAGCAGTTCAAATCAATTAGTAGGCTACAAAGGCATCATTAAGTTCTAATGTACATTTTACAGCAACTTGGACATAACTGCCCTTTTGTTTTGTCTACAGAAACAAAATGTTCCTCAATGGCACGCGCTTCGGACTCGGCTCACCAACGAGGCACCATAATCAACGACTCTCAAAAGGAAGTTTATTTCAATGGTGTTGCTCCATCTCCACAGAAAACATCTCAACCACCGCCGGTAAGTTCTATGGTTGGGAGTGTGAGTTCTCCCCTCCCTGTTCTTCCCCAATCAGCTGAGAATGGGGTTCAAAAACCAAAATAATGAAAGTTAAACTCCACTGTATAGAGATTTAGCATGTGATTTGGCCGAAACGGATCGACCATTCGTCATGTAATATTAGGTAATTGTTGATTCTGATTTCTTTTTTGGTGCAGCAGTAATTATTTGGGAAGAGCTAACATACTTCATAGGTTTTTTTATCCATTTTTTTCTAACACTATTCCATGGTATAATTTGATTAAAAAAGTTGCCCAGTACCCATTTCACATTTGTGTTTAGGGAGGCAATTCACGCCTACTTCGCAAATATGGTGGGGGTGATCAGTTGTCTGCTTTTTTGTGAGGATGTGCAATTCCAGATCTTCCTAATTTAGGCCCATGTAATTCTGAGCTTGTTCAGTTAATACTATACTTAAAATTTGCTTAAAATGACCAATTGCTATGTTAAAAGGTGTATTTGGTGATGCAGTTCCCTATATGGAAAATGACATAATGTTTAAAGAGAAAAAAATGCAACAAACCCCCTAAAATTCCACATCCAAAGAAACAAGACCTAAGAAAGGTGAGTGTAGGGTGAGAGTATGAAGACATTTTGTCATAGAATTAGAGTATGGACACGGAAAGAAATTAAGTGATTATTTTGAGACCTAATAATGAAATTGTGGGGGTTTTTTGATAGGGAGTTTGAAGTGCATTATTTGCCCATTTGTATTAATAGTTGAAACTTGAAACAATGTCTTGGTATAATATTGCTTAATCGGTAAGATTTTGTTGAAACCGACATCCAGTGTCAACGAATATTACTCACCCACTTAAAACATATTTGATGATCTGTTCGTAAAATTTTTGGTTCTATTCAACATATCTTGCCCACTTAAAACATATATCTGGTTTCTATTCGTAAAAGCGGGACAAGGGTGAGGCTGAGGTGGGGGTTTAGGATGGGTTAGACAATGTTTTGTTCAACTTATTTTTTTTGTTTATTACTTACTCTTATTAAAATCAGATGAGACGAAATCAAATTAGATTCAATCAGATCAAATCTAATCAAATTAGATCAGACTAGATCTAAACAAAATTAATATTATTATTTTATTATTATTATTATTAGTATTATTATTAACATTATTATAATTTATATTACTATTACTATTGCTATTATGATTATAATTCTTATTATTACTATTACTATTATTATTACTATTATTATTATTATAATTATAATATTATTATTACTATAACTATTATTATTATTACTATTATTACTATTAATATTACTATTACTACTATTATGAATATTATTATTATTATTACTACTGTTGCAATAATTATTACTATTATTATTACTATTATTATTAGTATTAGTATTATTGTTATATTATTATTAATACTATTCTTATTGCTATTATTATTACTATTATTATTAGTTCTATTATTATTATTACTCTTATTATTATTATTATTTCTATTATTATTACAATTATAATAATAATAATTTTAATTTTAATCAAATTTAAATCAGATCATATCCAATCGAATCATCAGACCAAGTCAAATTAGGACTTCAAAAAATAAGATCAGGCAAACGGAACACATCCTTAGACGGTAGCTAGAAACTATTAATTTTGCGAACAGTGTACTGAGGTACTCTTAAAAGACAGTGACACCAGAACCTCACCATACTCTGGTGTCAATAGAACCTTTTCTGTTATTTAATAAATATGAGAAATTAAATTTGGTCAAAGATCAACATGATGAGCATGAAAATCAGAGTGAAGTTGACAAGTTTTGTTTCAATTACATTGTAATGAGTAGGGTGATCAAATCCGATTAATTGGACTTTCGGTTTTGTTTTTGGATTTTCTGTTATTTGATAATGAAGTCAAAACTAGCATTCAACAATTACAAACACTCATCAAATACAAATAGAAATCCAAATGCAAATAAGTATACTTTCTTTTCGATTGATTTGATCTGAACTGAATTTTTAAAAACTGATTTTATCTGAATTGATTGAATTTGACAGAGAAAAGTAAGGAGAGGGAATGAAATTGAGAGGGAGATATTGTGAAAATAGAATAGGAGAGAGAAAGTAAAATATCATTCCCTCCGTCATAATAGAATACATAATAATTGGACAAAGATGTGTTATCTCGAGTCCTTGAAATTTTGTATTTTGTTTCAAATTTTGTTTTTATTTTGTGTTTTGTTTTCACCATTGTGGGATAAAGATGGTATTTAGGATTGAGAGGTTATATAATTGGTAATGTGGCACATGTTAAATTGGTATACAATTTTTAATTCCCAATTCTCATTATGGATAGTGTAAGATAACTCTGTTTTCTTAATAATGTAAGTGTTGACATGAAATATAAGGCTTTCGAAAATTAATTATCTTATATATGAATTTATGTCGCTTATCTTTCACATAATTAAAAACATTAAGACTAGTTAGTTTGGAGAAAAATAATATTCTAGAAAATTATTTTCTACGAGAAATTCACCCCATCCATCCCACACTCCCGACATTTTACATTCTTTGTTAGGAAGGAAAGGGAGGAGAACACAAATGTCCAAAGCAAGGAAATTATTTTTTTCATTGCAAAAAATATACGGAGTATATTTTTCCTTAGAGTATTAGAATTAAAATATTCCAAAAAAGTATTTACCCTCCAACCAAACAAACTCTAAACAAAATCAACACACAGAATAAGCTAATTTTTTACCATTTAGAACATCTTCTTTTGGGCCAAAAATTAACTCTAGAGAAAGACTAAAACCAAAATAAAAAATATTCTTTGTAGGAGAAAAATTCAGAAAATTACTCACGGGTGACGCGAGTTTTGTTGAAATAATTCTCAGGTCCCTCTATTTTCAATAAGACAGCAGATGTCCTTACATTTTGTTGTAATGACGGGAAGGGGACATTTCATCCAATATTTCATCTATAAACGTTAATAAATGTATTTTTTTCCTATTCTTTTCTAAATGTTTTAATGTAATAAATCTTAGGTCGCTCCTTTTTTTATTTCTTTGTTTTTCTTTCATTTTGTTACTATTTTTTAAAGTGTTATTTTAGAATTTCTTCTATAAAATCGTATAAAAATTCAAAATTGTTTGTATTATATTAAAACAAATGAAATAAAAAAAATTTAAAAAAAGAAAAAATAAGGTAATGGCAAAATAGGAAAAAATGGTATTGGAAAAATAGGAAAAAAAAATACATTTATTAACACTTACGGATGATGTATTGGGTGAAATGTCCCCTCCCAGTCATTACAACAAAATATAAGGACCTCGGTTGTCTTTTTGAAAATAGAAGGACCTGAAAGTTATTTCGACAAAACTCGCGTCACCCGCGAGTAATTTTCTGGAAAAAATTAGAATGAGACTTTCATATTTTAATTCTCAAAATAGGAAATATAATGCCAACATATAATTTAAAAAAATGTTACAGAATGTCAAGATACAATATTACATTATCACAATATAATAGTTTTATTTTAGAGATAAAGCATGTCATTCATATTTTAGACATCTATTTTGAACCTTTCTTAATCAACTTCTAACATTTTTTAACTATTTTCAGTTTCCTCAAACTCCTATACTTTTTTACTCCTAGCTTCTACCAACTTCTTTTTTGGCAAAAGTTACAAGAAATACTCTCAAAAATTCAAGATCGTACATAAGTACCCCAAATTCATTTATTCACGGTATTGCTTATGTTGCTTATTCTATTTTTAAACGCCTAGCTTCTACCAGCTTCTTTTAGTTTTTGGCAAAGTTTATAAGAGTACTCTCAAAAATTCAAGATTTTACATAAATATTTTTAAAATATATTTACATTACCAATAATGATCATATATATTATTAACAAGTAGTGTGAAATGTCAATGTATGGGTCATATTAGCACCATACAAATTCTTATTTTGAAGATAAAAATATAGAACTCATATTTGAGTATTTTATTTATGTTTTATTTCTATTTAGCGTGATTTCTTGTTAGTTTATATTTGGAATTTGGAATATATTTCTTTGAATTTGTGTTTTTTACTCGGTATTATTTTATGTTTATTCCAACCCAAATGACTCTTTTTTACAGTATTTTATCTATCCCCTCCCTCCTTTACGGACCTCCATACTTCTTCCATGGCGGCTTCAAGAATGCTATCCAGGTTATCTTCTCGGCTGCGACCTGCCCCTCTCAAGATTAACAAGTCAGTCTCTCCGTCGCCAGAGACATCCTTCTTCAATGCTGCGCCTAAATCTACCGTCAAACGATTTTCCCTAATCTCCAGGTAAATATGCATCCCTATATGATGATGAATGTGTCGATATTCATGTAGTTCTGCATTTAAAATTACAAAAATATGATAATGTGTTGGCTTGATTTAATTGTTGTACTCTTGATTTGAATGAATGGGTAGGTTACCCGTAGAGTTAAGCGGAGTGGAGACAATGATGCCATTACACAGCGCCTTAGCTTCTGCCCGATTGAACTCCAACTTGTCCATTGAGTCACAGAGCTGGTGTTTAGCTCCTCAAGGTAACTTTTTGTTACCTTGTTATTATGATACCCTTGGCGCCCTTAAAGATTTACTGCTTTGCTAACATTGTCTAACAGAAATTCCCTCTTTNATGTGTTGGCTTGATTTAATTGTTGTACTCTTGATTTGAATGAATGGGTAGGTTACCCGTAGAGTTAAGCGGAGTGGAGACAATGATGCCATTACACAGCGCCTTAGCTTCTGCCCGATTGAACTCCAACTTGTCCATTGAGTCACAGAGCTGGTGTTTAGCTCCTCAAGGTAACTTTTTGTTACCTTGTTATTATGATACCCTTGGCGCCCTTAAAGATTTACTGCTTTGCTAACATTGTCTAACAGAAATTCCCTCTTTTCCCCCAAAACAGGTTATGCTATTTTGCTATATCTGCAGTAGCAAATGAATTTCATAATATATGACTGTGTTTTAATTTGATGATCTTTCTTTGCTTCGGATTTAGATTTTTTCTAGCATAATGTTAGGGGTTCTCTCAACTTCAAACTGTTTTTTTCAAAATAACCTTGCATGAAACATGCTTAAGATAAGCATATTTTCTTAAAGATGATTAGATTTGAGACGTCCAGGCTTTATTTCTTTGCCCTACCTCGGCATTAAATGTATTTTTTGAATGGGTGAGTTTTATAAGTAGTCAAGTACCATTACTTCTTGGAAGATGAATATTGCCATTGGTTATTTTGGTCATTCTTTGCTGATTTGCTGTATTATGATGGCCTGCTTCTTGGTAGTTTGGAGTGCCTTTTGCAGTGTGGTTCTATTGACCCTCTAAGGCTTTTTTATCACAGGCTATGAACTCAATTATTTTGTTTTAACATATTGAGATTCATTTATACACACACCCTCCCCAGACTCTATTGTAGTGGGATTCAACTGGGTTGTTGTTGTTGAGATTCATTTATAAAAATTTCAATTGGAGGGAGAAGAGGAAGCTAGGTTGGTAGTTGGTTAATTGAAATCAATTTCATATTTCCATGTTACACAGATTGATGTTGTCATACATACTTACATAATAAGGATGTGGTCACTTGAACATGGGATATCTTAAACATGCAATTGAGATATGTTCATAAAGAATGTTGAACTTAGCGAAGCTGGAAAACTTGTAGTAATTTTTCAGAGTCTAAGGAGGATGTTATTTCAGACTTATAGTCAACCATGTCAGGATACTTGGATCAAATTGGCTAGAAGATACATATGCTGCAAGCAATATGTAACGAGATTGAACTGCAAATAATATTCAATGAGCTATATAAGTGAGATTGAATGATGAGAACAAAGGAGTGAAGGACAACCTAGCTCAAGCTAATCTTCCTTTTTTTTGCTGGTTTGTTTGTTTGTTTGTTTGTTTTTTTTTGAGTTGTTTCTTACAAGAAAACAATGTACAAGGTAAACAAAAGGGGGAGGGTTAGCCTATGCTAGGTAAAACTGTAAAAGACTCATCAAAATAGAAAGAAAACGAACAAGCATAAAAAATAGGAAGGTTAGCCTATGCTAGATATTCCTTTGTTCTCGAAGTTCAATTTCATTCATATAACTCATTTAATATTGCTTGCACTTCAAACTCACTCCATATTACTTGCAGTGTGCATGTATTCAGTGCAATTGGATCCACATTGTCTCCTGACATTACTGTCATCAAGTCTGCAATGCTGCCCTCCATATTGTTGGTTAAACGATTAGGAGTCCTGTCCCTGCATTCACAAAGCTTTGAGGAGAAAAATAGAAAATGTATAAGTTGAATGTCTCATGAGTCATGACTAATTCCAAACATTTCAAACGCTTCTTAAAAGGAAGAGAAAGACAGAATTGTGACCTACAATATTTCTTAGATCACCCACTTTCTTAATGTATCCATGCATCGTTGTTAGTGGTTGATTTTTCTTCATCCTCCTACGGACCACATTGGGGTCAATTTGACTTGGTGAAATGCATAGTTGTCACGGTGCCAGAGTACTGTTTGAAGGCCAAGTCAATTAGGTGACCGCCTAGGTGACAAGGTGTGGATGAAAAGTGTTTTACATTAGTAACATTAATTTAAATACTCCCTCCGTCCCCAATTTGATTACAAATTGCGGGTTACGGAGTAAAATTTTTTACTTTTTGAAATCATTTTACTTACAAATTGGTATATCAATAAGCTATAAAAATTACATATTAAAAAACTACGTCAAAAGTTCTACAAAACAAGAGGTGACAAGAATATTTTATTTTATCAAATACTTGATGAAATCGCGTAAACAAACAAAAGTTATCGAGAGGAGAGAAAAAAAGATTGTAATCTATTTAGGGACGGAGGGAGTATATATTTTGAACTTTACAGTTCAAATTCAGCCAAGTTTAGCATCCATCAAGAAAAAAATATGTAACGAAGTCTCAGAAATCATCAAGAAAAACAAAATTCTAAATTTAATTTACTAGCAGGGTGCTCAGTAAAATTATCAAAGTTTTTTTAAAAAACACATTGAAATTAATTTTAAAAATATTAGAAGGAGGTCTCTGAGAATACTGATAGATTGCTTATAGCTTTCACTTTCTGCAATACTAATAACAAAGTTATGGGGTGGGGTAGTCCGATATTGAATTCCTAAGCCCTAAGGCAGTCCCTGTGTCCATCTAAACTAAGGATTACTCGGTATAAACAATGTGGTCTGATATTAATCACAGTCAGTTGAAGGACATTTTGCTTCTTAAGGTGTATCTGCGAGGGAGGTTGCTTCCAGTGAGGCCTCTATCCAGCAACTGTGAGCAATGTCTGGAGTCAAAGTCGACTTTCAGCGAGAACATTGATTGGGTTCTGCAAAGGTATGTGGCATTGCATTCTAGGGTTGAGAATTTTAGGTAGGTTTGACTCGCGATGTCTTTAAAACGATGAGGAAGTCATCCTTAAGCAAACGCCCAATCATACCCAAGGAGACGCCTTCAACTTTAGATGAATTTTGGAGTGGCAACAGTGCGTGGCGAGAACAGATTTCGAACTAGATGCTTTGTCGTCGCCAAGGCAACACCTTAACAACAGTGTCTTAAATCGCCAGGATCTTGTCCCAGCGTTCACACCACATCGAGAAAAAAATGGATATTTTTAAGTTAAATGTCTCATGACTAATCTTAAATGTTTCAAGCACTTCGTAAGAGCCAGAGGAAGATAGAATAAAGGCAATTGAAATGAAGGCTTTGAGATACAACAACAACAACAACAACAACAACAAAGCCTTATCCCACTTGGTGGGGTCAGCTACATGGATCAAACGACGTCATTGTGCCCTGAGGCAATGAAAAAGAGAAAAACATAAAATTCAGAATACTAAGTAAGAGTTAGAGGGATGCAAAATTTGCTCTAGATTGTTGGTTCTTTTTTTCTGCTTTGGAAGAGTTTAGACATCAAAAGAGAATGAAATAGGAGGGAGGGAAGCAGAGAGGGGCCACATTGAGGTGTGCACTTGTTATGCCCAACCTACATTCTTCTGCTCTTTTGAAGTATTAATGTTTCATAGGAAATGATGTTATTTGCTAGTATCTCATTTCTTGTTAAAATACAGCTCTTTATATATGTTTGTCACTTTGTTGTGTGGGACAACGTAGTCTTCTAACAAGTTTCGAATCTCTTGATTCTCAATTTTTTGGCTTGACGGGTTCTCCTATGTTTACTGGAGCTATTTTTGTGTTTTCCGTTGTGTAACTATGCTGACTTGGCACAAGTGTTGTTTACAGACCATGTTTGGACTGACATCAACAATGGGGGGTCATGCTCTAACTTTGTGTTTTGCATTTATGTTACAGGGAAGTCGATGCCTTTATGATGTCATCTTTTGAGACAAGTCCTCCTTAGCCAAGCGTGATTTTCTAAATATATATAAGGGAAGCAGGAAATGGACTCTTTGATATCTGAATTATGCCTTAAGATGTTTCTTTCGTGAACAAAATAATTTCTTTTCCCGCATAATGGCTAGTGATTAATTTTCTTCATTCTCCTGTCCAAGAGCTTGTAATACTTGGGTGAACTCTGATGTGTAGTTCCGCTAAATATGAACTGATTATTTACTGTTTTGAGATCATGCGTTGAATTGAATGTCATCACGTTTGGATGTAATTTGAAACTTTCTGTTTGCAGAGGGTTTTTTTCATTATATTGCACCTTAACCCTCTTATGTTCACTCATAGAATCTATATGATCAATTTTTCATTATATTAATTTTTTTAACACATTTTTCCCGATATTAGTAGTCTGTAAAAACTTCTGTAATACGGAGTAGTAATCATTTGTTGAGGCCAAACCAAGAACATGGACATTTCAATCCCTTTTTTGTAACTTTTTTAAAGTTATGCATTTGGTTTGAAAACATTATATTTTGACAAGGTTGGCTACTTGGGAGCTTCTCATGGCCTTGATAGACTTCTTGGAACTTGGAAGCTTCTTTTCCAACCAAGTTGTCTTGTAGCAAACAAATTTGTCAAGGTGCTAGATACTATCCAAAGACGGATATGGTCATGACTAATAACCACTTCTTTGTTAGGACAAGTATTTTGGAAGCTTAAAGGGTTATTGTAAAGGGAACATGTTGGGAGGTTTTGCCAATATCTTAAAATACCTTGGGTTTCCAAGTCATGAGAGAAAATGGGGCATTTGAAACACTTTCTCTCTAAACAGGTTGTCTATTTTGGGATTTTGTATAGAGCTTTTGCTATTGATTTCATTTAAAAATACGAAGTAAAAAGTTTGCTATTTTTCATTGTAAAGATAATTTTGTGTTGTAACTTTTTCATATTGTTCCTATATTTTAGTGGGTCCGATAAAAAGGGTGTGTGTGACTTACAAAACTAACAAAAGGATAGGTGGATCAGGGAAAAGTTAGTAAGTCATAAAGAATCTAAACTGAATACCGCCAAGTGGTTTGTTACTAACATACACGGAGTACCAAGTTTGTTTTTTCAATAGAGAAAAATAATCCTGTCAATAAAAGGGTAATGGAGTGGGCAATGTATGATTGTCAATTACCGTCAAGAAACCCTGCTTTGAAGGTCCTTTTGGGTATGGGGAAGACTGATTTTTCAATGAAAATAAGATAGAAAAAGGATGAACTTTGTGAAAAAAGATAGGAAGTCATTCATAATTTCAAAATATGAAGGGTAAATGTATGTTTTACATTCGGGTGTGGGTATTATTAGGTCTCTGAGATCCATATAATAGCAATGATTCATTTTGTGAGGTAGTTTCTGTTAGTGGTAAAAGGGGTGTGAGTCCATGCACATATGGACTAATTGCCTTTGGTACTGCTCATAATAATCACCAACTGCAACAACATCTTCATTCTCTGGGTTCAGTACCCCCACCAAATTCATGAGCTTATCGTTCACCAAGGACCTTGATTCGTCGTCCAGTTCTGTGCTGGAAAGGAACTCTGCATGTATTTCCCTGCAAGCAAGAACGAACATCGCGGCTGTGTCTGGCTGCTGTGCCTCGCGCAGTGCTGCCAGTGCCTCTTGCAGTGCCCCGGCTGCAACATACAAGATCATTGCCCTGCGTGGTGCAGAGCCGTTTATTATAAGTAATAAAATAAGACATCCCATTTTTGATTTTATACCATGTCTTAAATGGGGAAAAATCAAATGAATAGAATACAGATGGAATGGGTAAGGTTTGGCTCATGCATGAAGAAACATCTCATTTGAAGATAGCAAACATGTGTGTGCGTGTGTGTGTGTGTTCAAAGTCAATGAAACGGCATACTTATAAGCATGAACATTTCTTCAGTTGATTAGTAGTAGCAACTTAATCTGAACGGCGTATATTACACACACACTATGTTGGCTTTGGGGTATGATGGAATAAAGCAAAATGACTCTTTAAACTGTGTGCACTTCTTTTATAATGAAGTAGAAGTTAGTCAATGCAACTTTCAACGCTCATCTGGAAGCAACCGCTCTACGTTTAAACATAGGGGTCAGGCTGTGTACATCCGACCCCCCTTACCCCACAACGGGCAGGAGGAGCCTTTGAGGCACTGGGGGTGTAATGTTGTTGTTGTACACACTAAGACATATGTATCTAGTAAAAGACTAGGGGGAAGCCTCCATTTGTCTCTGAACTAAAATAAAACAATGTAGTCATAAGCATTCAGTTTGAATATATATTTAGATCAACCATTGCAATGTGATCCATGCTTGGCAGGCACATGTATTTAGATGAAAAGTTCAATTTTGGGTTCTCAGTGGGTTTGGTCAATATTCCAACACTATATATACCTCCAAATGTTATGTTCTGAGCGTAACACATTCTCGGCCCACCTTTGCAAAACCCTGCAAGATTAAAATGCAGAAGAAAATCATTGCATAGGTCTCTCTAGTCTCTAGTATTATAGCCATATAGGTGTTTCATATGATTCACATCCGAATTTCAAAGTGAAATGTATGCAGGATAGGAAAGATGGGGCCAAACACCCATAAGATCCTCTTCATTACACACCAGAAAAATGAGAAAACCTCACTACTTGGAAAAAAAAGATGAGTTATAACTTATAATGTTGCCACTGTCAAAAGATTAGTCTCTTTTATCACGAAAATAAGAACTGAGAGTTGTACCACACAAAAATCAAAAAGTCGTAAACTCATCAATGTTGACTCCTTTTGTGGAGTGGAGTATATTATTTCTGCTCTTTCACGGGTGGCAGCATACTAATGCTAGCAGCTAGCCTCATAATATAATAATATATTTATATATCATAATATTTCATATAAAGCAATAGAAAACAAACAAGTTTTTCAAAGTTAAAACACCTAAGTTACCGTGCGTAATCAGTTCCTTTTAAATGTGTGGCAGCTAATGTTGCAGCAGCTGTCCAGCATCCAGCATCTTGTAGCTGCCAAACAGATAGCACACAATAAACTATCAAGCTTTTTTCTTTGAAGATGGCGGTGATCTAAGAATCGATTGTGGTGGAGCCTTGGGGATTTTTGTCTTAAGGATAGCAGTGATCTCACTAGAACAATATATTGAGGTGAATAATTTTTTCTTTTGTATTTGGGGGAAAGATGCACGCAAACCTTATACCTTCCCACAAGGGTGAGCAATGAATGCAAGTGCTGCATACTGATGATAATTACAAAACAAGTGTACTCTTACAAATAACATGATTTTTTAGTCACAACGGAAAGCAAGCTTTTAGCTTTGAATAAGATTTTTAGCCAATTTTGACATGTACGATTCAATATCACGCCTTGTGTCCTTGCAAAGGCCTTCAATAATTAACAATGAAGAAATTGAGACTACTACTAGATGACAGCATGTTTGCACCATACCTGAGAGCATGCTTCTTGGTACCTCCCAACAGCACAAAGGAGATGTGTGCCCGATAATGATCTATCTGTCCTAACCATATTTGCAGCCACAACCTACATAAGGGTACAAAGTACAAACGATGTTATTATAAAAGAACGGAAATTAATTATTAAAAATACACATTTGGAAAGAAATTATAGAAGACCAATGATTAAATTATCAAATACCTTCACTGCTAGCTCAAGTAAAGATGTTGAAACTGCAGAAGAAAGAGCAACAGCGCGCAATGCATTTCCATAGAAATAAAAGCTCTCTGGAGGTGTTGATAGTAGCAAACTAACAGCTCCTTCTAAATTGCCAACAGATATAAGTCTGACAATAATACACAACAAAGCAGACAATTAAGTTTAGAAGATGCTTTGAAAAGGAATTGCTTCATATATTACATAACCATTGCCAAATGTGTTGATAGTAGTGGATTAACCACGCACGCTAAATTTCCAACAGATGTGAGCTTGATAATGAAATGCAGCATAGTATACAATCTCAGGTACAACAGATGCTTTAAAAATGAACTACATCATATATTACACAACAATTTCCAAATAGATGTACATTGGTTGACTTTTATCTTTTACTACGTATTTATATTTTGGATACCTTGAATGAAACTTATTCCAAAGTTTCAATACACATTTGAGTGGTGACATTAGTATAAATGCTGGGCCTAGCCACTGTAATCTCCAAAAGGTAAAAAAGGCTATTAAAAAGGCCACACCACCTACAATCATGGTATGCTGGAGCCAGAATATGAAACAGTGTAATGACAAAAATAATAGTAGCAGCGAAACAATCTCACTCGTGTACACGGTTTTGAATAGCCTCTTCACCTTCGAGTTTCTCATGCCAAGGGATACGCTCGTTAGCACGCTTCCACAACTCTTCTTGTTTGAAGGCCATCAAACCAAGTTGATTGCTACTCTGCCAAAAATTGGTTATGTAACAGACACCAAGATCATTTTGCACAACATTGATAAGAAAACTTCTACGCATAGTTTTCAAACATCAAATTTCCAAATAGAAAAATTTCAAAATGGCTAACCAGTGTCCCTGAACCTGGAGCTACTTTTCCCTTTGAAGATATTCTATTCAACATAGATGCATCATCAACCTCTGAAGTCGATGCTGATTGAGGAACTTTCACTACAGACTTTTTAACCAATTCGGTCATCCAATAATTAAGAGCTTGAGGTAATTGAAGCCAGAAAATAGCTTCCATTAGCTCACCAAAAACTGCAGCAGCAAATGCAAATCTCGATGCACAACCTCTATTGACAATCCCAGAATAGAGTCTTACTCTTTCATCATCAACTATACAGCCTTAGACACAAATGGTGAAAGGAAATAAAGACTCGCATTAGATTTGTTGCCCATAAGGAACTAATAAATATTAACCATGCACATGCATACACATACAGAAATGTAAAAAAAAAGGTAATACTAGTATCAATACAACACCTTCCCCGCGGTAAGGCTCTAATACTTTAAGGAGCATTTCGGGTACCACAGAGTCACCAATATATGGTGAATCAAGCATATAACGACGAAGATCACTGGCTGATGAGGGAGTCCCACGAGTGTCACGATGCCCTTTGGTTGTAGTATAAATATTGAACCACAATGGCTTTACACCCATCTGTAAGATTGTACGTAAAGCCTGCAATATTAAGTAACAAGAAATCAGGAAATCAAATGTGAATATTGTTCTGATAAGAGTGTTCCGTGGTTTCCTATAAAGAAAATATATATTCCACCAAAAAGTAAGAAATTTCTTAAGTTTATTTTCAAAGTGATCATCGACGCTTCCAAAAAGTCTGATCAATTCATGTCTTTATATGTTATTGAAAAGGGAAATCTCTTTTTTTTTTGTATTTACATATGTCGAATGTTCATAAGTTTTTAAATCTAAAGCATTTTTAGTACTACTAACTCTGAATGTTGGACTAGAGATAGACCAGACTTTAAAGCCTTACTACAATGGAGTGATGGATATAATAATAGAAAACCTCTAAAAGTTATGGATCAGAACAAACTCTCCCCAGACCCTACTCTTGTGGGATTTAACTGGGTTGTTGTTGTTGTTGTTGGTTGTGGTTGTAACTAGGATTCATATCAGACATTCAATTTCCAGAGGGACTAAAATGGGCACCCAGCATTGAAGGAATAAATATGCTATATCTCATAATTAAGAGAACACATGATTCAAAAAGAAACAGAGGTATGTGTAAATTTAGTTTATTTGGAAGAGACCTAGGATCCATTAACTTACAAGGGCATGTGACGTAGGTAACAATATGGGAGAGCATAAAGGCACTGGCCGGAATTTCTCCTTAAATGTATGTGTCTGGATGCCATGTCCCAATTTTTTACTTCTGCAAAAGCAATTTAGATATTAAAGAATTGAAAGATACATTGAGGAAACAAAGATAACAGAAAAGGAAAATACGTAGTATGAAGCAAATGTGGCAACAAAATCCTAATTTCCACCCAGCTCAAAAATAAAAACCCAAGGAAACAGGAAAAAAAAGCAACATGCAGTTTACTGGCTGAATAAACTAATGATTCTGAAACGATACTAACTGCAAACTATTAACCGGTCATGTTATGTACTTACAAAAAGGCAATCAAGTTCTATAAACACTAACTCAAAAAGTGGGAAACATTTCTTAGCATGAAAACATGTCTGTGTATTTTATACACTCAAAAAATATATAAATTTAATTGTGGAGGCATAATATTATGCCTCATTGAATTTTTCGTGTTTGAATTAATGTTGTCTTCTACAAGATGGTTCATGCGGTCTTTATTTTCATTAACAACATGTAACCAAAGGCTACTACTCAAGTATGGACAGCTCCTTTATGAGAATGATCTGCAAGGAAACATCAAAATGCTAACTAATAAAAGTGTTGCAGGAACAGATATTGTTGGTAAAGGGATACGATTGTGTCACACACTAAAATCATACAGAGTCGTAATGAATTCAAGTTTCATATTCCAAGAATTCAGACTAGGCGAGATCAGAATTTGATGCCTAATGTTTTCTTTACAAAGGTCATATCGAAGTGGTATAGAAAATGATCTGATAATTAAAATTTTCTATGAACCATGTTCTCAGTGACACTTTATGAATACTTGTTGAATCAGAAAGAGATATGTTGAGCTACTAATAGAATTAACATAAACAACTAATAAAGCTGATGGTAAATTAGGATTGTTGCTGGACATACATGTTAGCTTCAACAAGGTGAAAGCTACCATCAGCTCGAGCGATGCACAATACAAGTGGATCACTTTTTTCTATTCGTAAAGGTAACCAATCAAGCTCCAAAACTAGAGTTCCAGGAAATTGAGGTTGTAACAGTGAAATAGCTAATGGATCGGGTGAATCCTGCAAATCAGAATAATGTGTTGGACCTAGCTACAACATACTCCAATAGAAACATCTTCTTAACTAGTAAGGGAAAACAAGAGAAAAAACAAGGAACATAATGAAGAAACTCGTCTTCTTACCAAATCAAATATAGAAAATGTGTTGTCAGTAAATAGAACTGCAATGCACCCCATGCTACAATCTCCAGAAACAACTGGAGTGAACTTAATTCTCCGTATCCCTTCTCTGTGGGTGTTAAATGATGATGACTGGCCAGTATTTACATCCCACCATCGTATATTCCCTGACCTGTCCCCCATAACCTGTGTGATAAGTGCATTACTGCCTCTAAATAGGAAATGTGAAAAGAGAATCATCAGCAGGTAGCCAGAGAGATTAAAGATAGACATACTACATACAGCATACCACATGAGGAAGACGATAGGCCATAGCTGTCACCAGTCCATCAGATGTAACAAAGGAGGAAGAAGGCCACTTTGGCCTGTGAAAGGCCAGTGTCATAAATTGAGTAGAATTGAGCAGGTTTAGTAGTATGCTAGTATAAGAGAGGAAGAAGTATACTTTATAGAAATAACTACTATTACCATTACTTTATCATAATAGAATGCTAATAAATAATAATAATAATAGTAATAACAACAACAACAAGAATAAGGTGCAAAAGTGCATGATTAATGAAAAATACAATGTTTTGAGTAAACCAATTGGTATGATAACCAAAAACATGAATTGCTAGTTATTTTGGATTAACTTAAATGATTGAGAAATACACAATCTTTAATGGATAAGTACCTCTATGAAAAGAAGTATTTAGAGTCACTTAAGTTCCTTTAACAACCATCAACTATGATAAAGAGCTTGCCCCTCCAAATTTGAGAAGTTGAATGGCATGAATAGAAAGCATTCAATGCATGGAAGCCTTATGAATGTTTAGTGCATCACTTATGAGAATGGTGAAATTGTGTGGTGGAGATTTATGCACGGAAAGGAGAAACCCCTCAATTCCTTCATTAAAAAAGAAAAGTGGAACCTTTTTGTGGGACCAACAAAAAAGAAAGTGTAGAATCTTTTATAAGGATAGAAGGAGTGTTTACAACTAGAAACATCTTTTCAATGGCATAGTGTCCATAAGAAACAATACCTTCCTAGTAGTCCAATTCAGGAATACTTTACCCTCTGAATAAAGTATTGGTGAATTCTCAGTCTTATGTGTGTTATGAATACAAACCTGAAGTCTCGAATTCTTCGTCCATGAACCTCAAAAACTCCAAGCGCCCCATTTACCAACGCAAAAGCAAAGCTCTCAGAAAACTCATCCTGTGATCCATCAATTCCAGTCCCTGCATTAAATCTATCCTTTACATCATGACAACATCAACACCTTAACCCCAAAAATATTGGAGGGACACTGGCATGAAAATAGTGTATATTAGTCGTCAAATTACTCAACACTATAAACTCGTGCAAGACAAAGTTTAACATTGGATGGCCTTCCAGAGGCAACCTTCTAAAGAAAGAATCACCATCATCATCACCACTGCCTTAATCCCAACTATGTTGGGTCTGTGACATGTATTTTACTGAGCCAATTATGTTAACTTATTTAACACTATGAATTCATGCAAAAAAGATTGTGCCAAAGCTTTAAGCTGGGCGCGATTCCTACAAGTCACAGCATTCTAATAAAGAAGGAATACTGAGTTGAAATTTCAAAACCACGATAACACATGTACTTTTTCCTCACAATGAAAATATCATGAGATTGAGAGAGTTATAACCATGCCCCCTTACAAAATTGATTTGTAAAAATAAACATGTACAACATAGAACATGACGGAGTTCTAAAGGAAGAATAATAAAATGGCATTTAAAAACCTTCACCAAAGAAAATATCAGCATACAATAATGACTCGATACATGTTGGTAAAAAGAATCAAAACTACAACAAAGACAATAGTGGGAGATATAAAGTTAATAAATATAAATTAACCCACAATGGTTTTTATGTGGAAACTCCTCCCAACTGGGAAAAAAACCATGGTCCTTTCAAACTAAACAATTCACTAGAATATCTATCAAAGGATGGTTAAAAAAAAACTATGGAGTGCAATACAACAACTGATCTTTTCATGGTGCGAACTTCCAGCATAAACTCAGAACTCCCTCTTTTTGGTACTATGTACAGCAAAAAAGATCAACTCTACACATGAGAACGCATCCCTTTCAATACAAACAGTCAAGCTTATCCATCCATGGCCAACAACAAACAAACCCAAAATATCAAAATCAGTGGACAAAACACCACATAAAACCAAAAACAGCAATGTTCCATCATATCCAAGAAGAATTTTTATCTGTAGAAAACCACTCAAATGAAACATAAGGCATTGAAATCCCATAATAATTAACTCTCGACTATAGCTTCAGTTCACTAATAAGCCATAACTTACATGAGGTTCAAAGCCCAAACTAACCCAACAATAACTCCACTCTACCAAAAAACTTGGGACTTAGGCTCTTGTTATTGATCATTTATTGATTATTCTAATAAACGAATCCCAATGATGTAGTCTTGTCCCACTGCAAAATTAATTATGTAAATTCAACAGGTATATCATGGAACATGAATGAAATAAATTCTACCCTTTCACATGATCATTTGACACGGTTATCTGCTGACAACTAGAGATTAGAAACTTTTCCCCAGATCCTATTCTTGTGCAATCCAACTGGGTTGTTGTTGTTGTTGTTGTTGTAACTATAAATTAGAAATTTTGACTAGCAAAGTGATAAAGAGAGGAAGAAAGAAAGTGAAAAGAAAAATATACTCACTAGGATCATTATAAGATGCATTTGGCGTAGAGGTGTCTGTGGAAGATGTCTTCGTTGACATCATGGTTAAACACTCTTTTGATGATGAACCTGGAATTATGGGAAGAGTCCATTCTAGTACAGTGAAAGGCAGAGCTAAAGATCTCAGCTGCATGATGAATTTCAATTAAATAAACAAGCCAATCTTGGAAATAAGCAGTCAAAAGAAATGGAAGTAATTGGGTCTTGGAGCCCCAATCTTAAACCACTCATATGCAACATAAGGCATTCAAAACAATACTATTGAGACTGAGAGAAAGCAAGCCATTGCCTTCTTTCTACAAAGAACAGGAAGAAATATACTGTGATGCTTCTCACCAATTCAAATTCTCTAGAGTCAATGTCAGGCTATCAGCCAGTTTAATCTAGTACCATAACACAAACGAGAAGACTTACCATAATTGGATTCTTTGTCATTGCCCAAACTTCTACTGGAGCATCACGAAACAAGATCAGAAGGTACCTAAAGAAATTGATTGCAATAATAAATCATTTTAACAGTTGTTTCACAGTTTTTTTTGGCAATGTGAATTTTTGTTTCAACAGATTTTTGTTTCAATAAAGTTGTTTCATACATTTTGAATTGATGTCCTTTATCAATCTGCCCACATGTTTGGTGAAGTATTTAACCAACTTTATCCCCTAAGACCTGGAAGCTGGTTATCTATTGTCCTAATCCCATTTGAGTTCTTCCCATGGTGGGTGTAATGGGGTCATCAGATCGAGAGATAATCTGAGGTTCTTGATCACACATAATTTCATGAAGTTCATCATATGACTATGAAGTGGGCCAAGCAATGATTTTGAATTTGGAAGGTACCCCTCTGAGGGCATAGAGAGTGAAATCATCAATAGTTATTTGCATGCCCGCGGCTTTTAAGTGAACACCTAGCACCGCACTCGTAGATGATAGGTTTCCAGCCTTCCACAGATGAGATCCCTTGTTTATGCTAGAGAAGGTGCCCTTAAGAGTCATGATGTGAGAACACGACAGACAGGTGTACATGTTAAAAATGGTAGTCAAGGCGGCATAGCTTGATACAACTAAGAGAATATGGTGAGCAAGGTCGCAGTGAAGGAAGCGACAATGGAACTATGAAGAATCTGATCATATTGTATCCAAGTCAATGGCACTGTTTCTGTTTCTGTTGCAGAGGAAGTGCTGTACGAGGTGAGGTTATATCCAATAAGAAGCAATCACCATTGAGAGGGCAATATATGGTAATGGCTGAATTCAAGTTTGAAAGGTGTTGGAGCGAGTGAATTGATAGAGACCTACAGGAAGGTGAAGTCTGATACAATCATAAAAAAGGATTATCACGCATTTGGAGCATGATGTTTTGTGTCAAGAAGTGCAGACATGGGAGACTAGTCTGCAGATGAGATCAGGCAGCAAGTTTTGTGGATGTAGTTTTGCAATATTAGGGAGGTGCTGTGGTTGTCTTCCTTAAACTTGGAGGCTATAGTAGTCATCATAGGTACAGTTTCCATGAAGAAAAGAGAAAAAGGAAAAAAATAGTTGGCTGTGAGGCTCAAATGCTTTGATACCATAAACAGATATGGTTCAGAAGGACTATTTGTTCATCAAGAGGTATAATATACAGAGTGTGTACACACACACACGACACACACACACACAAGGTAAGGTTTTCCTACATCACACTGTTACAGTTATCAGGAAGCTACTCTAATGGCAGAATGAGAGCTTCGAATTAACTGTAATGGAGAATGACAGTTACAGAGGAAAGAGAGGAAGAAGAAAGTGATGTCTTATTATTCATAACTCCCAAATGTACACAGGGTATGGTATTTATACAAGGGACTTACAACAATCTTCACAACAACTTCTAACTAACTATAACAGCTTCCCACAAATCAGTAACAGCCCTAACTACTGCTAACAGAATCAGTTTACCCGCCACCTGGCTCCCATCTAGATGCTTGTGCTGTAACATACCATCCCCCTTTTAGCAACCTTGTCCTCAAGGTTGGAATTCTGGGAACTTACTCAGTAAATCTTCGGCCCATTCCCACGTGGCATCCTCTGGGGACTGACCAGTCCACTGAACTAAAAACTGGGTCTTTGCCATGTTATTCTTCTTAGCTGGTCTGCGAGCAAGAATGACCATGGGCTTGGGCAAGTCTTCTGTGCTGAGACCCTGTAGCCATGTTGGGATATGTGGTTTTGCTGGCAGTGTCCCTTTGAAGAGCTTCAAGAGGGATACATGGAAGACGTTGTGGATTTTGGTTTCCTCTGGTAGCTGCAGTTTGTAGGCCACCTTGCCGACAACAGCTTGAATTTGGAAAGGACCAGAGTACTTAGCGCTCAGCTTCTCATTGTTTCTGGTCAGCAATGTAGTTTGTCTATAGGGTTGGAACTTAAGCCAAACCCAGTCTCCCACCTGAAAAGTCCTTTCTGATCTATGGCTATCCGCAAGCTGTTTCATCCTGTTTTGAGCCTTCAACAGATTAAACTTAAGCACCTTGATCATCTCCTCTCTCTTTTGTTGGGACCTGTCCACAGCTTCAACTTTGGATTCCCCTGGTAGGTAGGGTAAATGGATAGGGGGTCTTTGATTGTAAACAATCTCATAGGGAGTCAAACGTGTAGCTGAATGGAAAGTAGTGTTATACCACCATTCTGCCAGAGGTAACCACTTAGACCAATTTTTAGGATTCTCGCAAGTCATGCACCTCAAGTAGCTTTCCAAACATTTGTTAACTATCTCTGTTTGTGGATGGTAAGAAGATGAGAGTAACAAATCTACCCCATGCACTGAGAATAGAGCCTGCCAGAATGTACTCAGAAACACAGCATCCCTATCACTCACAATGGACTTAGGCATTCCATGGAGTTTATAGACATTGTCCAAATAAGATTGAGCCACTTCGAGCGCTGTATAGGGACTTTATTGAGGCTCATAAACCACTTCGAGCGCTGTCCATGGAGTTTATTGGACATAGCATATTTGCTCAATCTGTCTACAAAAACAAAGATTACCTTCTTACCATAAGAGTTGGGTAATCCTTCAATAAAGTCCATAGAGATATCCATCCAGACCTCTTGAGGGATTGGTAGTGGCTGTAGGAGACCAGCAGGGGCAGTGGTTTCATGTTTACAGGATTGGCAAATCACACAGTGTCTAATGAAATGTGTCACTTCTTTATTGAGTCCCTTCCAGAAAAACAGATTCTTCACCTTCTGTAATGTGGCATCTCTTCCAGAATGGCCTCCAGCAGGAGAGTCATGTGCCCAACGTAAGATTTTCAGTTTTAACTGTGGATCAGTTCCTACTACCAATTTCCCTTTCCTCCATAATTGTTGCTGTTCCCAAGAAAAGTGGGCAACACTTTTCCCATCTTGCAGTTGTTGGATGACACTCTGCAATTGGGTGTCTCCCACCCAAGAAGCTGTTATCTGAGACAAGAGATCAGACTCAATAGTGGATAGCACTAGTTGCATGAGCTGTCCTCCTGTGACTCTAGACAAAGCATCTGCCACTGTGTTGTCTTGCCCCCTTTTATACTGGATCTCATAGGAAAATCCCATAAGCTTGGATAGCCAAAATTGTTGGAAGGGTGTAGATATTTTCTGCTCTAATAGCCACTTGAGGCTTTTTTTTATCTGTTTTGATGATAAAGGGTTTGGCAACCAAACTGCTCCCATCTCTGTACTGCATGGACTAAAGCCAGTAGTTCCTTCTCATATACAGACAAATTCTGCCACCTAGGGCCAAGAGATCTGCTAATGAAAGCTATGGGGTGATTATTCTGCATTAACACAGCCCCAATACCCTTTTGAGATGCATCTGTTTCCACTACAAAGGTTAGTGAAAAATCAGGAATGGCTAGCACCGGGGCTTCCACCAGCATTCTTTTTAGTTTATCAAAAGATGAGTGTGCTTCCTCAGTCCACTTAAAACCTCCCTTCCTCAACAAGTTTGTTAGGGGTCTGCTAACAGATGCATAATCCCTGATAAATCTCCTGTAGTAGCCAGCTAGACCCAAAAAACTTCTTAGTTCCTTCACATTTTGAGGGATAGGCCAATTGGCTATAGCCTCCACCTTTCTCTGGTCTGTCTCCACTCCCTGCCCAGAGATGAAGTGCCCTAAATACTCCACTTTAGGTACAGCAAAGTCACACTTAATTCTTTTGGCGAATAGAGTGTGTTTATGAAGTATACCAAATACTTCTTGGAGGTGTGACACATGGTCTTGCAAGCTTTTGCTGTAGACTAAGATGTCATCAAAAAAGACCAGCACAAACTTCCTCAAAAAGGGTTGGAAAATATGGTTCATAAGACCCTGGAAGGTGGCAGGCGCATTAGTTAGGCCAAAGGGCATAACTAGAAATTCATAGTGACCCATGTGTGTTTTGAATGCTGTCTTGAACACTTCCTTGTCATTGACTCTAATCTGGTGATACCCTGCCCTCAAGTCTATCTTGCTGAAAATTGTAGCACCAGCTAGCTCATCAATGAGTTCTTCTACCACAGGAATAGGGAATTTATCCTTTATAGTGGCCTTATTAAGCTCCCTATAGTCAACACATAGTCTCCAAGATCCATCCTTCTTGCTGACTAACACCACTGGGGCTGCAAAGGGGCTGTTACTCAATTGAATTATACCACTATCCAACATTTCTGCAATCAGCTTCTCAATGATATCCTTTTGCTTAAGTGGATATCTGTATGGCCTGATGTTTATAGGTTGGCTGCCCTCTTTTAAAGGAATGCTGTGATCAAAAATCCCTCTGCTTGGTGGAAGGCCACTTGGGGTGTTGAAAACTCCTTCGTACTGTGCCAACACCCTTTCCACCTCTTGGGGTATGGCTTCTTTGTCCTCCAGACCTCCTTTGATAGGGTAATCTTCCCTCTGAACTTGGACCATACACATTTGTGCCATAGTGCATATGGTTTTAGCTAGTTGCCCTTTTTTCATCACACTGATCCTTTGTTTAGCTCCTCGAAGTACATGATTCCTGCCCAAATATTCAATCTCCATATGTAGTTGTTTGAAATTCCACCTCACAGTCCCTAAAGTAGTTAACCACTGGATGCCAAGCACAATATCACAACCTCCTATTGGCATGATATACATGTCAGAGGTGAACTCAGTACCCTGTAACCTCCATTTAAACTTTCTGCAGACATGTGTACACTGTAAGCTGTAGCCATCTGCCACTGTCACCTTCAATGTAGTAATGGGTTCCAAGTAGCAACCCAATCTGTAAGCTAGATTGCTGTCCATGAAATTATGTGTACTCCCGGAGTCAATCAAGAGTTGTAAAGCCTTCTTGCCCACAAACCCAGTGACTCTCATTGTCTGGTATCCATTGCCCCCAGATATAGCATGAAATGAGATGGAGGGGTCATTATCAACCCTTGCTTCCACCTCAGCCAATTCAAATTGCTCAGCTTCTTCCTCTCCCAGCACTTCTACCAGAAATAGTTGAGTCTCCCTGTTCTCACACTTGTGTCCTTTCTCAAATGGTTTATCGCAATAATAGCATAGCCCTTTTGCTATTTTCTCAGCCCTGACAGATGCAGGGATGAACTTGGGATTTCTCTGCGTGAAGGTTGGTTTATTGGCTGAGCTAGACGTGTTGTAATTGCCCTGAGGTCTGAATGCACCCTGATAGCCTGTTGGAGTGCTGGATTTGGCAGATGATTCAGGCTTAGCTAGTAAAGGTGTATTATTCCTTCCCATGTTAGATTGAAGTTGTGAGTGCTTGTTGGATTTATCTTGAGTTCTCCAGGCTTCCAAAGTTTGCTCTTGCAACCTTGCATAACTAATGGCCTTAGTTACTGATGTTGGAGCAAAAGCCTTCACAAAAGGCTTAATTTGTGGCTTTAGTCCNCCTGCTGTTCTTCAGGTACTTTACACAAGGAGAAGTATTGTCTGCATTTCTTGATCCATTCTCGTGGATTTCCTCCCTCGAATGATGGAAATTCGATCTTCGGATTGAAATGGAATGGATTTCTGCCTCCATTGTGATTTGATGAATTTCCTGACTCTTGATAGCTGCCAGATCCTTGTGTCTGCAAATCCTGCAGCTGATTTGCTAGCCGAGAGACCTGTTCTTCCATGAGTTTCCATTGTTCTGAAAGCTGCGATGCCATCCAATCGCGTTGTTGTTCGATCATCTTCTTCAATGCTTCTTCCATCTTGATCTTCGCACGTGTATTGGCCAGATTGTCGTGGTTTGGATCGAGAAGGAGCTCTGATACCAATTTTACAGTTATCAGGAAGCTACTCTAATGGCAGAATGAGAGCTTCGAATTAACTGTAATGGAGAATGACAGTTACAGAGGAAAGAGAGGAAGAAGAAAGTGATGTCTTATTATTCATAACTCCCAAATGTACACAGGGTATGGTATTTATACAAGGGACTTACAACAATCTTCACAACAACTTCTAACTAACTATAACAGCTTCACACAAATCAGTAACAGCCCTAACTACTGCTAACAGAATCAGTTTACCCGCCACCTGGCTCCCATCTAGATGCTTGTGCTGTAACACACACCCCTATGGTGGGACCCCTCCCCCAGACTAGCTCAACACAGAAGCTTTGTGCACTGGGTATCCCTTTGAAACAGAACTTGGCACATCGGTTGAGGTCAAGGGTTTGAATCTTGGAAACAGCCTCTTTCTGTAATGCAGTGAAAGGGCGGGCACACATCACACGGCTATGCTGCGCCTCCTCCTCGTACCCTTTCTATAAGGCATATTTTGTTTACCGAACAACCTCTTACATTATATTGTACCAGTCAACAAATTGATGAGTATGTAGTTTTACTTTCTACATGTGTGTCAGCCATTTTAAATACTCCTTTCATCCCCAAAATAAATTGAAACTTCGACTTCATAGAGTTTAAGAGAAGAACTGAAAAATGAAAAGTGTGGACGGAAGTTGTTTAGAAGTGAAAAGCGCTGGTGTTAATTCATAAGAACTGCATGCCGGCCTGCCCTAGCTGGGGCCGAAAGGCAATGAAGATTCGTAAGGGCATCCGCTAGTGCTTTCTTCTGGGGGTTCTGCCGTCTGAGCCGGACATGCTAAGACAGGTAGATGATGTCGTGTTGATGTACAGTTTTCTTTTACTTGAAAACCTGAGATGAAAACCACAGGCCTTTTGAGCAATACATTGTTAATAAGGAGAGCATTTATGGGCAATCTGTTGCTAATGAGGATTAGGAGTAGGTTGTTTTATTGATGCAAAGTTGTACATGAGTGTCCAAGGACGGCTTGATCATGGTAATAAGGTGTACAGTCAGCCCCATATTGTGTGGCCAATCTATTTCGTCTAGATTTATGGTACTAAGGTGATGAGAGGCATGCCAAGGCATCTGAAGCAGACCTAGCACAAGTCTGGATAGAAGCCGGGTATGCCGACACATGCCAGCTGATCCATTCAACATCATTCATCAGTACCAAACTACCAATGGCCAAAAGCATCTATTATTTTCTTTTTCTCTTTGTTATTGAAAGAATTAGGTAGCACAGACCTCCCAGAAGATGAAGATCTTAATGCTCTAATAGGGGCTCTCTCTGGCTTCTGTAAAACTCGAAATGACCGGTTGAGTCCACTCCTTAGACAAGTCACAACAAGCCTATTGATGTAGCCCCCAGTTTTTTCATTTCCCTGCGAACACAAAGTTAGCAAGACTGCTGTTTGATTAAAATGAAAGCTAACAGACTTGCCACCACAGACGATGCACTTGAAATGCAAGGGATTATTTCAAATGAAGAAATTCTGAACGAAAAAAGGGCATCTGAATGTGAATGAGGAGATAGAATGCTAATGTTTACCAAATAAAATGATATAGCCAACATAGCATACTCCAATTTATCATACCTGTGTGAACGAGAATGAAACCAATCTAGAATTACCAAGCCATCGCAATCCCCTAACAACACTGCTATGGGCATAGAAACTAGCAGCAACAGCATTCACGGAGACGTCTATAACATCAATGGTACCACTTTGAGTTCCCAAAGCAACTAATGGAACTGCTACAGCAGGAGAGTTTCCCCCACCTTCATGGTTGTGCCACTCGCTATTTAGTCCACAGAATTTAATGAACTCCTACAAGCTCTTTGTAAACATTGAATTAAACGAACACATAAAATGGTCAAGGATGGTACGCACGTGCCAATGTAGCGGTTAGTGAAGGAGATGGAACAGCAAGCATAGTCACTGCTGAAGAAAGAAGATGAAGCTGCCCGACTAGCATAATCTGCATCAAGATGTTAGACCTTGAACTTGGAAGAAGACATGAATAGATTTATCTGAAACAAAGACTACATAAAATGGACCAAGTCCACCACCACTATGGTAAGGGTTAGAATATTCATAATTGTAGACATTAGTCTACAACAAAACATACAAGGCTCTCACAATGTCATCTTGAATGAAATTGAAAGTGCAATTGGATGGTAAAGATTCAATAATAGACCTAATAGCAGTGCAAACACATGTGTTCGCTTGAGTTTTTAATTGGAAAAAACAGATTTAAAGCATAAAGAAAATTCACATAGTTAACTGTCAAATCAATACTCTTGTAAAATGCTAGGACAAATGGAACAGGTGGATCTTGAATTTGTCTAAATAATCACTAAGTTAATCTTGCCAAATCAGTACTGATCCAAGCCATTAAAGTCCCACCCCGTCCTATCTGTTAATTATTATCCAAGCACTCAGATGCCAAGCATCTATATACAAATGGAAAGTTTGAAATTCAGCCTTTTAAACTTATGAGTTATTTATAGTCCATAAAATATACTTCATATCGTATAGTCCTTGTGTATGGGAAGGAGGCTTTTAAGTTCCATTTATGCTCATGAATGTAGTAGGTTTCTAACTTACAAAAATATTAGACATGAAGTAAATTAACAGTCCTGGGATAGCTAATTTCTTATTGCCTTCCCTAGAACCTCCTCCTCAATTACGTTCTTGGGTTCTTGCTGATCCACCATGAGCTCTAAGCTAGCAAGATAAATTTAACAGAAAACTTACGTTAGAATGTCATATGTTCATGCACAAACCTTAAATGACAGTTCATCTTTTTTAGAAGCCTTTGACAGACAGCTCCCATCGGAAGGCAGAAAAGCCAACTGAAGATTACCCTGTGCTTTACATACATCTACTGCAATGTTGAATTTGTTCGCATTCTTTTCTCCATTTCCAAATCCTTCAGCAGTTAGGAGCCATTTCCATACTTTCCCATCATCAGATAATGAGACTAAAGGTATTTTTGAAATTACAGGAGATTCATCAAAATAGTCAAAAGGATTATCAGGTTCAAGATAAGGTGAATGATGTCCATCTGAATATAGCTTGCTGATACTCTGAAGAGTAGAATATGAGTGAGAGATAACAACTGCAAGAACTGAGGGAGACGGGACAGATGTGCCAATTGAGGGTATCAGTTCTTCCATAGTACCCATCACATATACTTGTTCTCCTCTGTTAAAATTGCAAAATATATGTTCCCTTGAGTGCTTCAAACAGGTTAAGCTTTGAATATTGTTATGCAGCAAAGTGAGAAGTCATATCATTAGCTTCAGAAGACATGGGGTTTCAGACACTGAATTTGTGACTAAACACGAGCAAGCAAGAGAAAACTAAGGATTTAGTACAATGAAAAAACATTCCTGCCTACTGCTTTAGAAATATATTGAACACAAATTCAACAGTAAGTTTTTAATGGAACCTATAAACACAGAAAATTTCATTGGCACAATATGTTTAAGGATATGAGAACCATTTTCCATCAATACCGTAGAGAAATGACAACAAATATCAACCAAGTCTTAAGATTGTTTCAACATAAATTCTACTCCTAGAATATATTTTCATAGAATCAATCTATGTGGCAGAGTATAAGGACAACAACAACAACAACAACAACAACATTAATAAAACACATAGCTGCTGTTTCTAGATGACCCATGACAAACGTCATAATTTGCATTAACTAACTGCTACTTCACTATTCAAAGAAGCCCATACAGTTTAAAGAGTCATTTTGCTTTATTCCATCATACCCTAAAGCCCAAATTAGTGAAGCTTGGGCTCCATCTGAGATTCGGAGATGATGAAAACAGTATGCATTCAAGGAATATTGACAATGTTTCGGCATCACGTATATACTAGACTAAATCAAAATGGCACAGTAAACTTCCTTTGAAATTTTGGGCAGTGAATGCATCAAGGGTCTTACAGAAACAACCTAAAGTCTTTTAGAAGTGTAAGATTCTGTAGCCCAATTTGAGTTGGAATTATACCAGATTTGTTGTTTTTGTAGATTTTTACTACGAGTAGAAAAATACTAGTAAAATATTTCTCTATGCCCCTACCCAATCCCTTCCATTTCTATCTCCTATTGTATTAAGCAAATAATCTAGTTAGCTTTATAAGAAACATTAAGAATTATTCCCTCCATATCGAATTAACAGATACATTTTTTTTGGGTCTATGCACCCGGTGATTCCACCTCGTTTGCTACAGAATCTTGAAGAGCTGCTAAATGTACTATTAGATGCCCTAACCAAAACATACAACTTGCTACAAATGATTTGCTACCATGACTTTGAATTAGCTCATCTTATGATTCAATTCCAAACCAATTATTTTGAAGGGTATTAATGACACATATGTTCCATACCATGTTTAGTTCCTCTGAGATGGCGTATGATATATCAGTACGAATCAGGGGTTCAAGAAACATAAAAGTCAAATGTACCACTTACTCCTTTCTCTGCCAAGTACTGAGCTTCCCATCAAGATGAACACAGTAAAGAACCTCAATATTGGTATCAGGTAACACTTCCAGTAACTTGCCACAACCCCTTGGCAGCCCAGTAGAGTATAGCTCCGTTTCATAAAGCAAATCAAACACAACCAGCTCCCTCGGAAACGCCACAAAGAGGATATGCTTCCAGTGAGGTGAAAATGAAAATCGCACAACATACTTTGGGAATGTCGCCAATGCCGGAGCACCCGTGGAACCAGTAGTTAAATCCCTCTCTAGTTTCTGCAATTCTGAAGCATCTGTGCGGATTTGCAACTCTTTGAGTGCAATGTCATCATGGGAATCTCCAAGGGCTTTAACAGAAAGCAAGAAACCTTTAAGCCCAATAGCACAGAAACGCCTAGAGTCAAAGGGATCGCGGCGAAGACAGGATAAGTACTCCGGGGAAGAATAGTATTTGAAGAAGCAACGGCCCGTGCAAGTGTTGAACAAACAGAGGAGAGAAGGTCCGGCTATGGCAGCGAGAATCCACGATTCGGGTTCTGTTTGGACCCAGCAAAGGTCCTGAATCCCTAGGTTTTGGGTAGAGCTGATTTCGAATGAAATAAGAGGCGATTTAGACCTAAAATCGAGGATACAAATCCGTCCCTGGCGGTCGCCAACGGCTATGGTGAGGTGGTGGCTCGTGGTGTCGGAGGAGATCAGATGCCGAGGAAGACCGAGCGGGGACCACCGCAAGGCGGTGATGAAGGAAGCGAGAGCAGGGGAGGGTGCGGAGGAGAACAGAGGAATGGTGGTGATGAGCTGCATGGAGTGGGTTTCGACCACGGAGATTGAGCTGCCGGCTGCGTAGGCGAGGAGGCCGGTGGTGGACAGGTCTGCTGCTCCGCCGTTGCTGCGGGATGGTGGGCCCGGGAGCATGCAGTCCCATGATTCACTAGGTGGTCCGTGGATCGACATCTCGCACTGAAATTATGGTGTAGGGCAGTAGGCCGATTGAACAATGCAGCATAGAATCTGGCCGGATCCGGCGAGAGAACGGAGAAATCGGTGGTTCCACGGAGGCGATCAAAATTCTCAGGCCGAGCAGACTGGAGGGATGATGGCACGTTAAGGAAGAGGGACTCATATGATCGCCTGTAAAGAAATACGGTTGGGTTTCAGTTTGAATCCGTTATTACTGGTTCCCATTTCTAAGGAAATTTTCCTTTCTTCTTGTCCCATAGGATGACACGATCAATTACTCCTATCCAATTAGCTTTCCTCATTTCGATCCTCTTTTAGTAAAATTTTTTTTTTAACATTTTTAGAATTTTTAAAATTTTTATTTTAACATTTTACTTTTAAACTAAACTAAAATAAAATTTGATTCGTGGGCCGGCTTCGGCGTGTAGACGCCTATTACGCCGAGTCCCAATCAAAGGGTATTCCTCGTTGGGACAAATTGTCAAATCAGACGTCGAATGTCTAATTTTCTCCCACACCGCACAATCTTAAGAGTTAAGAGCTCAATTTAGTAAAATAGGCTATATTAGTTTTGAAATATGAGTAAAAGATAATAAAATATTTAAATAGGAGTTATATTTTTTTATGACATAAATAGAAGTTTCTATTACTACTTTGATAGTGTACTCTGGCACACCACATATGCACGTCCACCACCACACTTCATCATCACACTGCCACTATTTATACTAAAGAATCATTCATGCTAAATAAATGACACTACACTATTCATGTTGTCAAATTTTATTCTATTTCTTTACCTATTACTCCCTCCGTCCCAATATATTTGTCCATTTTGACTTTTTCGAGTCAAACTGGAAAAACTTTGAGCTTCAATTAAACAAAAATCATACTGTATTTTAACATAAAAATGACTTTATTGGATTTATCATATTGAGAACTATCAAAACTGTATTTCGTTATGCTTATACTCCATATGGAATATAAATTGAGAGTAATTGGAGTTCAAAGTTTGTCCACTTTGACCCGAAAAAGTTAAATTGGACAAATACACTTGAACGGAGGCAGTATATATGATAGTTATAATGATGATGATGATAACAAAAACAACAACAACAACAATAATAATTGATGGTGTAAATTACTTGACCGGTCAAACTATACTAGACCGGGTCTAGAATAGTTCGCTTGATTTGGCAAAGTAAGAAAGGTAAAAACACGCAAATTGACCGGTAGGACTTTAGGTGGAACACCTGTAGCCCGATTTATATTATAACGGAGAATGCACGAGTGCTTTTACAAGGGAGTTTAGAGAGAATGAATTCGGATCCCTCTTTCTGAGGTTTACATGAGTATTTATACTAGGCTAAGGGGACAGGACCACGTGCGCCCACGTGGGGGCATGCTGCTGATGTGGTGCAAGGTGACTGGTTTCGTCCTCAAGCTGCCTTGTCGCCTTGTGAAGGGGATCATTCCCTTTGTCGAGTAGTGCCTTGGATGGATTCTTCAGCATCTCCAGTTGTCCTCTACTGACACGGGTCGCTACACGCCAAGCCCTCGCAGATCCTCTTCTGCCG